TCTTGCGCCTCTGTGATGTAGGGTAATCGGAGTCGCTGCAGCGGTAGAGGGACGCGTCGTTTCGTGGTTCCGGGCTCTTCGCCCTTTTCTTCTTACGCCTATCTCGGGTCTGTTGATAATCAGCGAACAACAGCTTGGCGAAGCTATTGAGAGCATCCCCCTGCTGAAGCAAGACCCTTTTTACGGTGTCGAGCTCGTCTTCTACGTCCATAATCTCCATCAGGAGCTTCGTCTCGATGGTGACTTGGAAGAGCTTATTGGTCAGGGTGGCTCTTTTGTTCTCGTCGGAACCAACCCTGTTCAGTTTCTTAACCAGCTTCTTAAAGCTTTCGAACTGCTCCGCTTGCCTCTCGGCCTGGAAAGGAGTAAGTGCGTGTGCCTAGGTAAGTAATTTGCAGCAGAAGCAAAAACACGGATAATTAATGCTGCCTTCACAACTCACAATCATGGTGATGCTTGACTGAAAAGATTCCTCCAGTCTCGTCTTGCTTGGGCCAGCTCGTTTGAGGAAGCTCACACTGCCTCGGATAATGGCATTAGCAAGGTCCATGGAATTCTCGGCCCCAATCAATGGGCGGTCGAGTGGCCGGTCGCCTGGGTGCTCTTTCAGTTCTTTACTCAACAGGTGCTCCACAAGGTTGTACTTCTCAGCCGGAATCCAGGTGTCTGGAAGACTGGTAATGACGGTTTTCTCGTCCTCTAAAACCCAGAGCCAGAGTTGGTCAACCATAATCACTGGCGACTTTTGTTTCGCCTTCTCGTCGTCCTTGGCTATCTCCCTCCTATGTTGTTTGAACATGACCTGGGTTTGGTCGCGCCTCTCTGTGTCCTTCAGCATGTGGTAGGTAAACTGATCCAGTGTCCGGCGGCAATGTAAAGGGAACTTGCTGTTATTCAGGTACGCGCTGATGACAGGGGGGATCTCTGCTGTTGGGGAACCCGAGGTTTGCTTGGTTACTAACTCCTTTTCTGCTTCCGACTTGATTGCCATGGTTAACTCCTGACGGTTGGCAGAGGTTTCAAACCCAAAAACCGGCATCTAGATTTGGATGAGGCCCATCAGCTGTTTCTGCCATCTGGGGGTGGATTGGGGCTAAAGGAACCTACAAACAGGACCGTCACGGACTTTTCGCTACCAGCTAGCTTGCCCTGGCCTTTGGACAGGTATGGCTGGCGGTATCTGTAGGCACCGGGGGCAATGTGCCGATCGAATGGGGCCCGTCCTAACGTATATGATGGTTAGCAACTGGTTGTCATACATACATAAATATATATATATATATATGTGTATTGTCCGGATGGATTGGGGTAAACCTACCTATAAGCCGCCGGTCCCTTGTGGAATTGTCGAGACGCCGTAGCCTCCGGCCAAAGAGATCCTACAGTGACGCTCCAGTCAATGAAAGGGCTAAACGCAAAGTTGTTTGATCCTAGTAAAAATCACTGACATGCACCCATTGCTCCTTTATACCTCAGCGTTAGCTAGCTTGGGACAGAACGGACCATTGGGTGTATACTCACATTGTTGGCGGGCAAATGGATCCATTTACACGTCGCCAACAGCCTTGTCCGGTACTCCTCGTTGAGCCTTCTGTCAAACAACTTGTCGATTCCATGATCCGGATCATAAATGACTTGGAACACGTCGGGTCTATACCGAGCCCAGAAGTCCTGTTTTCCGCCCTGTTCCTCAACGTAAAATTGTATCAGGCTGGCTTTTGTTTTCTTGCAAGCCTCCTTTTCGACGCTGCTAAGTTTCACCTCACTCTCGATTGTCTCTCCCGAAGACGCCTTTACCGACCCCACGGGGTACGCACCCTCTTTCAGCTCACGAATCCAGCCGTGGCGTCGGTCACCATCGCCCTCTTTTGTTGGAATATAACTCCATGGCGATCTCCGAGCAGAATCTAGTAAAGTGTCCGTGTCGTGTTCGGGCATGAGCTCCGCCCACAGAGACAACAACCCATGGATCGTCTTCCTGATTTCCCAGCCCTCGCCAGCTCTGACGGCCGTTTGAATCAGCAGATGGAGGGGAGTTGACTGGGCCCTGTCTTTCAATAGTAGCATGCTGGGTTTGGTCTTGACAAGGATGGATAGCGCGGGTTCATTGGCGTAATAAGCTGCGAGGTGAATGGGGTAGCGATGGTTGTGATCCCAGACGTCGAGGTTGTATTTCGATATAATACACTGCCGCAGAGTCACTTGAAAGTCCCTGTTGCTTGAGGCTTTAAGAACTAGCGAATTCTTAACCTGGCGCACAATCTGGAGGTAATGGGCGTTCTCTGTCCCTCCATCGGTTTCCGGCTTGATGAAGGTGATGGCGGCGGCGGCTTGCGGGTTCTCGACGGGAGCCGTCTGGTAGAAGCAAACCGCTGAGAGTTCATTTTCCTCGACCGTCTTCTTGAATTGTACCCAGAGATCCCAGCTGTCAAACCCCCCGAGCTTCGGAATTGGTTTATCCTGATAGGTGCGAGGGGGTTTCGGCATTGATGACGGATCCAGCGCAATGTATCTGGCTCCCCCTGCTTTCTCGCGGTCTATCTTTTTATACCCGCCAAAATTGAACCCTAGTTTCTTTGTGAGATCCTGGATCTGCGGGTTATCCCTCGGTGCTTGCTCTTGCTCCATTTTTGTGCTAGTTTTGGCGGCCTCCTGGGAGGCTTCCAGTTTGTCAGGGTGTTGTTTAAGGACAGTCGTATGGTTCGGATCTTCAAGAAAGATAATGGTGGCAATCCTTTTCAGAACTTCCAAGTTTTCTGCGGATTCTGCAGCATGGGCTGTTGTAGGTTGGTTGGCTGGACCAGAGTGACCCTCGAGTTTTAACTCTGTCTCCTTCGAGGAGAGCGCCGCTTTTTGTACTGAGGTGCCGAGAAGAGCAATCACTTTCTCGACAACGAAGCATCCAAAGCCGGCCGCGATGAACACCAGTGGGACTTTGGCCGGCATTTGGTGCGCTTTCAGTTCTAAGAGGAGAGCCTCAGCCGTGTCTTGGAGATAGCTTCTGGCTCCAAGCTGGGTGGTGGCTGACTGCTCCTTCGTTTCCGTGTCAAACTCGTAGGAAAAGACCAGAACTCTTGCCGGATCACCCAATCCACCTGTGACCGACATCGTTCTCTCTAACAGCCAGTTGCTAACCTTTGCCTCGTTGCCCTTTCCGGAAGGCGAAACGATATCCTGACCATCGGCAGCGCGTGTGTCTCCAACGTCAGTCATTGCAGTATTGAGGTTATCCGGTTCCTTGTCGTTGGTTGCCGAGGCAGCGTGGGTTTCTCCTGCGAGGGTTGTTCCGGCCCTATGGCCCCTATCCACTTCCTTGGCCTTCACCATCGACGCGGCGTCAGTTATTACAGACACTTCTGGCTCCTTGATCAGGCCAGCCGCCTGGTTTGTAGGTGGGTTCCCCTGCGTGTCGGCCGGCGAGTCTTTTCTCAGCTGCCGAAAGTTATAGACGGCAACAATGTCAACAATGGGTGGCTTGGACAAGGGAACCCCGATAATTCCTCGAGCTTTGTCGTCAGCAGCTTGACGCTTTCCAGCTGAGCTTCTTTGCTTTGCTTATCAGCTAGCCTTTTGTCGTTCGCTGGGATACCTTGGCGGTTTCCTGGAGGCGAGAAGGGGACCCCTCCCCAGTTGACCCTCCGGAAGCCCTCAGCAAAGCCATCGAGAAGGTTTCGCATTATTTCTTGCCCTTGTAATGATGATGTCTGCGCCGGCACACTGGCCTGGTTCTTGATGTCCGGTTGATGTCCTGGGGCCGCACCCGAATCCGCTTGCGTGGGTTTCTTGGTATTGGCTGGTTCGCCTTGCCGCTTGTTTCTGGACCCGTTGGACGCCTCACCGTCGGATACGCCTGGTGTGTTTGTATCGGTGATTTTCAACCTGGCATTGGCGTGCATGGGGACCTTCAGGCGTTGATCTAACCTCTCCGCCTCCGCCTGCAGTTTGTCGCCATCGGGCTGGCTCGGCAAAACGAGCGCTGGGGCAGATGCCATTGCTGAGGAGTTCAAGAGGTTGTTGCAAGGTCGTGGAGAGTAGAGAAGGATGGGAACAAAAATGATGGGGAAATGGGGGGAGAAAAGAGACTCGAGAGCCTTGTCGAGAGCCTTGGTGATGATCGGCCCTCTCGCATCCCGAACTGCACGTACATACAGCTCCATGCATGTAGCATATCCCTCTCAGCGCCAAATAAATTTCCGGCGGATCAACGCTCAGAGTGCCGGCATAAGATATATTATGCATTGGCCCCTCTTGACTGAACAAGCCGCGATTGCTACTTCAAGACACGCTTCAGGTATTTTCTTATGGGATGTGACATTGATGACGACCCTTCAAAGCCGTCCGAAGTACATATATGGGCATGCTGTGTGACACCTCAGCTGCAGGAGATGTGTGCCGGGGTGAGTTGAGAAGACTGCGGTTGGCCGCCATGGACGAGCGGAAGGCAGCTGAAAAGCCTCCCCCCACTCCAAAAGTTCCATTGTGACGCTGGAATGGGTGGCAACCAGATGGCGGTCATGAAATAGGAGAGACTTACTAAGCTCGTGGCCGCGGAAAAGTGGTGGACCATGGTAGATTGCGGCGTGGCTTTTTAGGTCTCCCCACTTCCCCTGTTTTCCTAACTTAAGTTAGTATCCCTTAGATTCCGTCTCCTACATGAGGTGGGCTGGTTTCCACTCGAAGGAGCTTGTGTCGTCGCCTCCTGATAACGCGAGTTTAACACCTGTGTTTCCTGCAGTACCGGTTTCGCAGCCCAGAGGAGCACAAGGCCAGGGTGGTTGCGGTTACGGTGAGCTGGCCTGCTGTGGATGTTGTTGCTGGGCAGCCGTTGGATTATACGATGGATGATGTCAGCGTTGAGACTGTCTTCGGCTTGGGGTACCGGGGTGGTTGTGAGAACGGAGAGTCAAGCTATCAAATAAACGCGTTGCTGGTTGGATCCTTGGTAGAGGTAGGGACGCTCCTGATGCTCCTGCTTTCAAGCTTGAGCTGTTATACTCTAGTTCGTGGCTGGATGTTACCCATGTAGTTGTAGTCATTCTCTTGATATACAATGCACCTAGGTAAGTCTTACCGATACCGCGCTTTTACAAATTTGCGTTCAGAACCTATCATAAATGTAAAAGAACTAGAATTACGCGCACTGGGGCACATCAAAGCGAGAATGGAAGTATTCTGCAATGGGTAACCGGGGTAGGGTATTTTCAAAGCGCAAACTCAAGTAACTAGCCCTTATATAGGGGAATCAACATTTCTTGATTTCCAAGATGCATTAGGACTATCCTTGCCTTCTTGGCCATGCCCATAGCTCTCTGTACGCCTTCTGTTCAAGATTCAACGACTGCAAACCATCGCTGTCTCGCTAGCTAGATTCTTGATGTAAAGATCCCGCGTGTTGACAACTTGCCAACTCCTATTCCTGTTCAGTTTGACGATTCTTAGATTCACAGTAACTCAACACTCCTTAGACTCGAACTTGGCACATGGATTGTCGATGATTTACCCCATTCGGGTCAGTACCTATTCGCGGCTTGCGCCGAAATGATTATGTGAGCCAACGGAGCGTTGTTCGCGAACCCCTTTTAGGAACTCCCGTGAATCCCGTCTTACCGCAGCCCGTTCTTTGTAGAGGCCCGACAAGTCCAGGCTATGTTGATAGAACCTACGTTGCACCGACAAAGTAGGAGGATTGCCAATGCACCCCTGGGGTAGTAAGTAACTGTATCTCAACGCGGCAGTGTGGTAGCAACAGCTCGCACTTGTTCCAGCCGTGTCGCACTTCGATGCCGACTTTAGCAGATCGGGCTTAGTTGAGATAGCCAAGAGACGCAAATAACTATAGCCTATATTAAACTACATGCTCCTACATAGATGCCAACCTCACAAGTGCTTCACATATGCAGAGTATAAAGGGACACTCACGCCAACCCCTTGTCACCCTCGACTCTCTGAACTAAACTCTCTCATCACCCTTTCCAACTTCACCGGGATCACCAGTTACTGGTTAGCATGCATTGGTCTCTCCTGACCTCACCCTTGGCTCTGGGCCTCGCCGCCGCCCAACAGGTTGGCAAGTACGAGAACGAGATACACCCCACACTCCAATGGAGCAGCTGCGGCGCCGACGGCAGCTGCAAGAAAGTCGACGGCGGGGTGACCATAGACGCCGACTTCCGGTGGCTGCACCGCGTCGATAACCCCGGCAGCTGCTTCGACGGCAACACGTGGAACGATCGGGGGTGCGACAGCGTCGACAACTGCACCGCCAACTGCGCGCTCGAGGGCGCCGACTACGTCCGCTCCTACGGCGTCAAGACCTCGGCCGACACCCTGTCGCAGCGCTTCCGCACCAACTTCGACTTTGCCTACAACGTCGGCTCGCGGCTTTTTCTGATGGAGTCCCAGCACCGCTACCAGACGTTTACGCTGCGGGACAACGAGCTGGCCTTTGATGTTGATTTATCCACCGTCGAGTGCGGCATCAACAGCGCGCTGTACTTTGTGTCCATGGATGCCGACGGCGGCATGGCGCGCTACCCGACCAATGCGGCTGGTGCTGAGTACGGCACGGGCTACTGCGACGCCAGCTGCACGCGCAGTGTCAAGTTTGTGGGAGGAAAGGCGAACAGGGAGGGCTGGATCCCCTCGGAGACGGACGAGTTCTCGGGTAAGGGGAACCTGGGATCGTGCTGTCCGCAGTTTAGTGTGTGGAACTCCAACGCCCACTCCTTTTCCATGTCGTCGCATGTGTGTGTCAAGGATGGTCCGCACGTCTGTTCTGCGGGAGACTGTCTCTATAATGAACCGTATGCGGAGAGAGGACCCGGGAGGTGTGATGCTACGGGGTGCAGTTATAACCCGTATCGGATGGGCAACAAGGAGTTTTATGGGAAGGGGAAGACGGTGGATACAGCGCAGAAGTTTACGTGCGTTCTCGCTTTCTTTCTTTGCCCCCCCCTTTTCTCTCATCTCTCCTCCCTCTCCTCCTTCCTCCCCCCAAGTCCCACATAAACAGCGACAACCCGATTTCGCGGATACTCACACATCCCCTCAAATCTAGCGTTGTAACCCAATTCACCGCCACCAAAGTCACGCAATTCCTCGTCCAGAACAACACCCGCTTCGACATCCCCGCCCCCACCTTCACCGACCTCCCCCGCGAAGCCGGCCTCTCCCGCGACATGTGTGTCAAGCAGTTCGACCTCTTCGCCGAGCGCGACATCATGTCGGAGCTCGGCGGCTGGGAGCACCACCAAAGCCAGCTGCTGGACCAGCCCCTGGTCATGGTCATGTCTATTGGGGCCGATGTGAGCACCCCCCCTTTTTTGCCCTTCGATGGTTTGGGCGTAGTAGGTTGAGTGCTGACTCCTTGGCTAGCATTACGCGTGGAATCTGTGGCTGGACTCGGTGTACCCGCCGGATGGCATGGAGGGGACTCCGGGGAGGGAAAGGGGGGATTGCTGGCCTATTGAGGATAGTGAGCCGTGGGTAGTGCAGAACATGTGGCCGTCTGCGTAAGTTGCCAACTCCAAGTTACCTACCTATTGTATGAAGATTGATCTGACATGTGACAGTACGGTGCATTGGTCGAATATCAGGTTTGGGCCGATCGGGTCGACGGTCAAAGTTTGACGGTGCATCTGAGTAGGTAGGTAGTGTAGTCAACAAGCAATTCAAGTAGCCCCGTGACCACCGACTTGACTAGACATGGTATAGACATCTTGCATGCATTCATCATGAATCTATGAATTATCGTAGTCTACCGACAACTCCATCTCAACTCCATCCAAGCACCTCGCAATGCAACCAACCATCCCAACCCAACGCAAGAAAAAAAAAACCAGACAACAAGACATTTCTACCCAACAAAGCAACTCTCAACACAACCACACTCCCCTCTAACCCCAGCCAACACCACCCCAAACCCCTCTCACCTCTCCACATAAACGGGAATCCCATACACCACCGCCGCGGCAGCCGTAACAAACCGAAACCGACACCTACTCCTCGCCCTGGCAACCGCCTCCACCAAACTCGCCTCCCCATAACCCCTAGGAGGCGGTGGGCTTTGACTCGCCCCCCTTCCCCATTCCTTTCTCCCCCTTCTCCCCCTCCTTACCCACCCCCCCCCACGGCAGCACCCCCCACTCCTCGACGACCCCCCCCGCAAACCGATCCACATCCCTATCCGTCACATCCCACAGCGTGCCCACCACCGCGGGACACCCGGCCATCATATAATTCCACACCGGGCCCGAGGGCTCAAAGTCGCCGTGGTCCGCCAGCGCGGCCGACGAGCAGCCCATCAGCAGCACGGCGGCGCGGCAGCGGTCGAGGCGGCGGATGGTGCGCGCGCGGATGTACTGCGCGCCCGAGCCGTGGCCGAAGTAGAGCAGCATGTGGGAGGCGGTGAGGGCGTGTGCGAATTCGTCTTCGGTGGGGGCGCGGCCGGTGATGTTCTTCCAGGTTTGGGAGGGCAGGTGCGTGGCGAGGGGTTGGGCGAAGGTGGATTGGGTGGAGGTCAGGTCGCCGGAGGGGTTGAGGATGTAGGTCCCGCCGAGGGCGAGAGGCGCGTGGTGGCCTTCGGGGGTGGAGTCGTTGGCGTCCTCGCGCTGGCGGCGGTCGAGGATGAGGCGGCGGAGGCAGGCGAGTGAGGGCATGCGCGAGACGGCGAGGCCTTGCATGCAGGGGAGCGACTCCCAGGGGAAGACGTGCAGGGCCTTGTCGAGGAGGAGGATGGTGTGGATGTTGGTGGGGGCGTCTTCGGCGGCGTGCGCCGAAGAGTGGTACGCGTTGAGGGCGTCCATGGTCTCGACGACCATCGAGTCGAAGTCGATCTCGTCGTAGGCGTTGCGCTCGCCGTGGAACTGCAGGATGTCCACGACAAAGTAGAGGAGGTCGGTGAGCTCGTCGTCAAAGTCGCAGTCCGGCTGGGTGACATCGCCCAGACCGATAAACAACTCTAGGACGTTTGTGTCCAACGTAGCCTTCGGCGCCTGTGCCGCTTTGGTCCTCTTCCCGCGCACCTGTCGCCGCGAAGGGAGGTGCTTGTCCAAGATAGCCAGGAAATCCTTCTGGAACGTCGCCAGCAGCTCCGGGCGGCGAACGTGTTGCGAGAAAATACCCCTGAAACCGCCCAGCCAAATCTGCTCAATGCTTCCCAACAACTCCTTCAGCCGCTCATCGAGCGCCTCCCGCTCAGTCCACCACGCGCCCTTCGCGCCCTTGGCAGTCATATCCCTGGAGTCGTGGCACGTCTTGTTGATCAGCTTGATAATCTCCAGCAGCTCGGAGCGGCCCTGCTGAAAGTCAAAAGCATCGCTGTCCGCCTCACGGGAGCTTGCTCGCTCAAGGGGCAGACGGATGACAAAGGGGCTCTGGCCAGCTTGAAGTTTGGTAATGCAGAGGTCGTGGTTGCCCTCGCTGAGGGAGATGGAGATGACATTCCACGGCTTGGGGACGATGTCGATGTAGTCCCGCTGGATCTTGTGGAGGTCGAGAGTAAATCCGAGACTCGACCTTCTGGTGGTCGCTGACTGAAGCGCCGGTGGCCACATGAGTCCGTCATTCTTGCCCCCATTCTTTTCCTGAATCAGCGCCTTCCGTTCCCGACGCCAGGTAAGGTTCCGAGCGAGCTCAACCGAGTACGATGTTTGAGCAGAGTGGATAGCCGCCTTGGTCTTGTTCGACGTGGCAGTGAGAAACAAGCTAACGTTTTGGAGCATGCCCGAGATCCTGTGAATCAGGCTGGCATCCCCAGTCAGGGCGGCCACCGAGTGTGCCTCGAGCAGGTAATCATGGGCCTCGCGAAGGTTGTCGACGTACTGCCCCCGATTGGTCTCCTTAATGACTAGCTCTGGGCTCGCGGGGGCAACTCGTGCTTTTTTGGGTGACGCAGCCTTCGCACGGGCTGGTGAAGCCTTTTCGGAACCAGAGAGGGCAGGGAAGGAAATGGTCGACTCCTGAATAACAGAAAAGACAGGATCTTGTGCCATCTGTTCCATGCTAATGCCTAATAGGCACGACGCCATGGCAACCTGTCTGGCGGGCAACAACCCGGACGCTTTCGATGCGGTGGTAGCTTCTGCAAGGGCCGCCTGCGCTGCCGTCCATTCTTTTTGCTGCAGCATAGACACGGCTTTTTGAACAAGAATCGACGCCCGTAATTTAGCTAGCTGGGCGTCCTCCTCGATCACCAGCGTATCGGGGGCAGTGGTGGTGGCAGTGACGGCTGCTTTTGTCTTAGTCACACTTTTAGCTGTTTTCTTTACTGGCGCCTTCTTCACAGCGGCCTTGCGACCACCCCTCACAGGCTTCTGTGCGATGCTGAGTTTCGCCATTTTGTTCTCCGCCACAACGGTATCAGCCGGCTGCTGCTCAACCTCGGGCATCACAGCAAGGCTCTGTGCGATCGCCTCGGCCTTTGCTAGAAGAAGCGCCGCCCCTTCCGAATCGTTCTGGGAGAGGAACATGGAGCTAATCTGGCAGGCGAGCGTGGCCGAAGAGTAGGAGCGGTTGTCGCTGGGGAGCAGGGCCGATGCTTCTTGAAGCATCTCGAGTGACTTGGCAGCGTTGGCAGCTCTCCAAGAAACCGCTCCAATCCAGGCGGCGCACTCTGCGTTGTAAAATTCGGAATCGACCGTCTTTGCCATCTTCAGCGCCTGCTCTGCGTAGTACATGGTCTCTGGGAACATGCCCAGGTGGGCGTACATCGACGAGAGACGGAAGACATTGCGGTAGAGGAGGTGGAACAGCCTCCAAGATTCGGGTCCGGGACTCTGCTGCTGGGCATCTGCTGCGAGGGTTATTGCGGACACGTTAATGGTTTGGTCATTGGCCTGATTCTGCTCTGGCAACGCCTTGGACGTAAGTTGAGACTCCATTTTCACCCAATCTTGGAAAAGGGTGCGAACGCTGTCTCGGGAGTAGGCGAGCGCGTGGTGGGAGTCGCCGCGTTCTAGCGCGATGAGAGAGTGCAGGTAATAAGCATATGCGACAAGCCGTCGCCTCTCGGCCCGGGTGTGCTTCTGAGGCGTGTCGGCATTGAAGGCGAGCTGTGCCTGGGTGAGGTGGTCCTCGGCTTGCCTGAAGTTACTAAGGGCAAGAAGGTGCTCGGTGAAAGACAGATGGAAGTTGGCGAGGACTTCACTGCGCAGTTCGTCGCCAATGTGTTCCCGCGCCTTCTGGAAAATCAACTCCGCCTTTGATGACTGGCCCAGATTCGTGTACTGTAGAGCGAGGCACGAACTGTGCTGGACAACCTCTTCGGCCTTGGGTCCCTCGGACACCCGCGCAATGTCGGCGATCAGCTCGAGAACCGTTGCCAGCATGGTGTCCCGGCCTTTCATGCGGAGGAAGTCCGCGACAGACTGAAGATATTCCAAAAGACCTGGTATATCATCGATCACCTTCTCCAGGGTTGTTCTGTCCTGACGTGCTGTGGTAATCGACCGCCAAGTGGAAATGGATCGGTCGAGCACCCGATTGTCGCGGTAGCCATCAACTGCAGCTGCTAGTGAGTTGTACAGGGCCTTCAAGTGCGGAAGAAAGCCAGCCAGCCCAGAGTCGTCGCCGAGGTCGCCCGTGTCCTTAAGCTGCGCGGCGTCCTTAGCCACCGAGAGAAGTTCAGGGGCCCTGTCAAGGTTGCCGAGGGCCGAGCAAAGCAAAACAAGAAGCACCCTCAGTCTGCGAATGGGGTAACGTGTGGGAATATAAGTCCGAAGTAACGCGTCAACAACAGGGTGCTCCAGCGTGATGTCGACCTCCTTCGCCCCCTCTTTCATCAAGATGAACCGCAGGCGGTGTTCCAACGCCGCAGCGCGTTCTGGCTCTTCGAGATCCACCGTCCAGTCGATCCAAACGTGTTCCATTTTCGAGATTGCCAAAAGTGCGCGGGAGAGGCCCTCGGCCTTTTCGTCGCGGGCCCAGACAACGGTAGGCGATCCGGTCGCGAGGGATTTGGCAACGTATGCCAAAACACCGTCATCGAGCAGGCTCGTCCGGATGGCCTGAAGAGCACCAAGTGCTTCGTCCCCCCTGCCGAGCGTCCTGCAGAGCTCCGCCATACGCTCCAACTTTAGAGTGAGCTGGGCCTTCTCCCTTTCGCGGCTCGTCCGGTCCTTGACGCACTCGATAGAGCGCCTCAGGGCACGCAGGGGGGCGGCGTCCTTCGGGTCGGTGGATTGCTGTCGCAAACAGGTGTATTGTAAGTAGTAGAAATGCGAAATCTTTACATGGTAGGATGCAGACGCATCGGATGTGGCCTTGTTTCCGGTGTACTCCAAAAGAGTGTTGCAGTCACTGAGAATAGAGTCCATAAGGTCCCAGGACAGCCGTGACTGATCCAAGCAGGTCTTGATGGTTATGAATGCCGAGTCGAGGATGTGCGGAAGGTTTTGCAACATAAGCTGTCGTCGCTGTTCGTATCGTAGGTAATCCTTGGTGCTACCCTTCGGTCCAGGAGGCTTCCCCAGCCACCGGAGGCAAAAACGCGGACATTGCAGGATGAAGGTTTCCAGAAGCTCTTTGGCTTCTGAGGAGGGCTGGAAGATGTTATCACCGCCCTTGGCGAGGGCGAGGAGGAGATGCATGGCCGTCTTTCGAACGGCGCAAACATTGGTCAGAAGTTCGTCTAGTTCGGTGGTGTCCCCGCGCAGAGGCCCCTGAATACCGGCAACCACTTCCTTGAGAAGTAATTCGTCGGAGAGATGCTTTGCAGGCTGCTTGAGGTGAAGTGAGAGTAGTTGGGCGGCAATGGCACAGGTCTTTGCGATTGATTCGGCCTTCAGGTCCATGGCGTCCCGCAGTTTAGTCGCCCACATGACGGCGTCCGACATTTGCTGCGCGTCGCGCGCCAGGGTTACCAAGGTTTGACATATTCCGGCAAGGGGGAGCTTGGATCCTTTCGAGGGGGAGAAGCCGTGGCTTTGAAGCTGCCGGTAGATTCGGTCAAAGATCTCTGAGCAAACAGTATAGCTGGATTTTGCGGTTTCGGAAGTTCGTCGGATGTATGCGTTAAGACATCTCGATAGAGGAACCACGACATCCTTCTCGGCGTCCCCCTTGTGCTTCGCCAATTTCCACCAATGCAGACGGGCCTCGAGCGCGAGTGCCTGCAATTCGAGGGCAGATGCCGGTGATATGCTGAGCCGGGACTCCTGCCCCAAGCTGTCGTCTTTGCTAGACACGTTGGGGGTTAGCGAGAACAGGCACTGAGCCACCGTTTCCATTTGTCGGGCAATTTTGGCAACGTGAGCCCCATCTTCCCTTGCCGCGAGGAGGAGTAAGTTGACGGGTGAGGAGGCTTGGTCCTGCCGGAGATAGGGCAAGACAGCTTCAATGGCTGAGGGCTTCTTGGCCATTGCCAATACACGCAGAACCTGAATTTGAGTGGTGATGACCAATAGAAGCCGTTGCCCCGAGGCCGTCACTGTGCCAAAGTCAAGAAGTTCTGAGAAAAGCTGAGCGGAATTTTTGGGCTCGGCACCGGTGGCTTTGGCCGCCTTCTTTCCATCACCAGCCGCAGATCCCTCCAGTTTTCTTTTCAAAATCCGCAGCTCTTTGATAGCCTGTTCCTGTATGTTTAGACCGATCAACCTCCCGACCAAAGCCGACATGCCAGACTCGAGCTGAAGGTCCGGGAGGGTGATCTTTCCGGACGCGGGGAGTTGGCGGAGCGCAGCGAGGGCGACGCGAGCACACTCGACAGTGGCAAGGAGGTTCGTTGTGTTCGAAGATCTCGATGGGGACCGGGCGTGCCTTGTTGTCGCGACAGGAGAGGTCGATTGCCTGTTAAGCGAACGGGGTTGTAAGGGGGTCATTGGCGCTGAACTCGTCCGCCGAAGCGCGTTTGTGGTTGCCGTCTTCACCAAGCCATCCTCCTGGGGAGGTCGCGGCGCAGGGGTCGCGGCGGGCTTTGCAGCCTCCCCAAGAGCCTTGAGGGTGGCATTGACGACGTGTGTAGCGAGCGCTGCCTTTTCTCGCACCGACAAGCCATCATCCGCCGCAGCTGGTGTGGGTGTGGGTGCGGGCGTGGGTCTAGCGCGTCTTGACGGGGCTCTTGTAACCGTGTTTGTTCTCGATCGGCTCGGGTTCGCGACTTTGGAGGAAGGTCGGGTGTCAGTCTCGTCGGTTATCGGTGTCTCGTCCCTGGGTAGCAACAAGTTCTTTAACAAGACGGATATCGCGGGGGTGCAGGTCGCGACGGAAGAGACGGCGCTGCGAACAGCATCCGCCTGTGCGAGTGGTGTATCCATGAAAATGAAAAAGAGAAGTGTGTTATGGGCTGATTCTTAATCATATCATCGCCGTTCCGAGGACATTATCCAAAACACAGCAATACCCAAAGCAATGAAGAAGGTTGGTGTTCAATGTTTGAAACTTGAACTTGAGGAATCTCGAATTGCGGCCCGCTCGCGTCAGGTGGTGACGGCAGGCACCAAGCTCTCCAAACAGGGGTTCGTTGATGCCCCAATCCGGGCTTGACCCATGGCAGAAAACCTGGCGGGTTGTTGGCGGGGCAACCGACGTGAACCACTCCAATTGAACGGGTTCCATCTCAGGTCCCAACCGTCCCATTGCCTGCCGGGGATCTCACTCAGGCTTGGCAGGGTCCACCCCAACTTTCACAACTTCGAGTCCCATTTCTGTCACTTGGACCTAGGTGCAAAGTTTCAGTGGGTCCCCGCATCTTCTCGACGACCATCTCCAACTTCAAGCCGACAAGTCCAGACAACCAACATGAATCGGGTCCCGCTTCAACGGGCGCTTTTTGCGCCGGGCCTCGGCCAACGCGTTTTATTTCAAAGGCCGCTAGCACAAGCCCTCAGCACACGCACTGTCAGCTCCGTCGCCGAGGTGTCCTTCTGGAAGTCTCTCGTACCGAAGCCCCTACGATCGCGGTCACCGTCGAGGTGGAGGAAGAAATTCAAGGTACAAAAGGGGTGGAATCCAGCGACCTTCTTTATCTTCATCTTCTTGTTGATCGGGTCCATGTCTATCCAGATGATCGCCCTTCGAAAAGACTTTGCGACCTTCATGCGCCAGTCCGACGTCAGGATAGGCCTGCTTCGCGAGGTGGTGGAAAAACTGCAAAGGGGCGAAGAGGTGGACGTGGAGAAGGCTTTGGGTACCGGGGACGCAGAAAAGGAGTTGGAGTGGGAACAAGGTTGGTCCTCTTGGAAGACTGAGTCCTCGGGGCGTAACATGCTGACGGGTATGGTAGTTCTGAGGGAGATTGAGCGCGAAGAGCCGGCAAAGGGCCACCAGCGCAAGAAGCAACCTGAGCCAACGCCTACTCCGACGCCGACACCTACACCAGCGCCAGCGTCAGCACCCACATCCGAGGCGAATACCCTACCCGCCCAAGACGGCACGAAGCACCAGGTGCAGAGCACCCTCGCCAGCAAGGGCTTCTTCTAAGTCCCCCCTTCACGGAGGGTCGGCGGCTCTCATTATCTGTTGGTCTATTGTAACATGTTTTTAAACACAGCGGCATCATTTTCCTGAAATGACGCCGTGTCGGGTGATGGGCTCGAGAGACCGGATTGCCGCATATCATGGACAAGAGCCGGTAGTAAACTATCGGTGGACATCTCTAGCCTCACGCCCTGGCTACCCGTCTGGGCAGGGTCCAATCCCCCAAAAAAGAGATCCTCGCCCCTGACGCCACCGATATTGACAATACCGATGGGCATCCCCCTATCCTTGGCTCGCTTTGCCAGCCTCCAGGCCGAGTACGTCGCCATAGATGTGGCGAGGACCAAAAGCTTCCCGGCGCCATCGATGGCATCTTCAGCCGCTTCCTTCACGCTGCTGGCGATACTCTCGCCGAACATGACGACCGCTGGCTTTAGAATGCCAACATTGCTCGTCGGGCTCCAGGCGCCATCATTATCGACCTCGACCGTCCCCCTGGTCCCATCCGCCAACGGCGGCGGACTGCTCAAACACGTCGGACACGCAGGATACCGGAAGGTAGTGTACGGCGCCTCGGGCACCTCCACATCACCATCCGGATTCATCCTGATCCCCCGCCGCCGCTTCTCGTGCGGGTCCTCGGTCTCGAGCGCGCCCGTCGCGATGGCCTCCCGCAGGAACGCATCCCACACGGGATTCAGCCGCGCCAGCTCCGCCTGGAACCTGTCCCTCGGCAGCTCGTTCCGGCACGACGTGCACACGGCCGACCGCAGGTAGCCGTGCAGCTCGAGCGTCGGGATGTCCGGGTGCGCCCGCGGATGGAACGAGTCCACGTTCTGGGTGATGACGCTCGACAGGAGGCCCAGCTTGCCCAGGTCCCGCACCGCGTAGTGGCCCGCGTTGGGCGCCGCGTTGCGCAGCGTCGTCCAGCCGAGGAAGCTGCGCGCCCAGTAACGCTTGCGCGCCTCGTGGTTGGACAGGAACTCATGGTAGTAGATGGGGCGGTATGTCTTGTTGACCCGGTATGTGCCGTTGGTTCCGCGGTAGTCGGCCAATCCGCTGGCGACCGAGAGGCCCGCGCCGGTGAGGAGGACTGTGGAGCGCGGTAGGTCCCTCGGCGGCGGGGTGTGTAGAAATTCTTGCAGGGCTGCGATGGCACCGGGGAGGGAACGGGCTGTGGCGGGGATGATGCTGGGCGGAGGGAACAGCTCGGTGTAGGGGATGCGCATGAGCGGTTTCTTCATATTGTCTGGGTTATGGAGGGGTTTGGATAGACGGGGATTAAGTACCGATGTGGATGGGTGCCGCGTGGCTGATGGACCCTGCTCAAGGGATTAATTTGAGATGTGAAGCAGCTGCGTAATCGTCATGGTTCCGGAAGCGTGGCAGGGTGGGCTGCAAAGCTCAAGATCCACTTGGGTTCCTGGTGGCCAATGCTCACACCCCTGTCAGTGCATGTGAGGGCAGTCATTGTAAACCCGTACGAACAGTTACATGGGTACCTCAAGAACGCAAGACAGAAAAGACCTCCATAGACAGATGCCTGAGAAGCCTATCCGTCAAGGTCCCAAGTAAATAGGAAGGCATATCAAATAAAAGAAACCGAGTAAAGGCGATTGCTTTTGTCTTGTTTCCGTAGTAGAGGTCTAATTGGTACGACTATTTGGATGGACAGACTGTGTATTCTCGATCAGCAGATACATTTTCCACATCCCTGGATTCATCCGGGCGGTGGTGCGATGTCGGGTGCATGTGCCCACTACAAAACGTGCTAACTTGCCCCTTATAGCCAGTAACTGGCTGTCATGGCGATGGGAATGGACGGATATGGATGATTGCAAATCGGAGCCGCCCTTTCCAACCAAGCCGCCAATTCTTTTTTTCTTACACAAAGTACATAAAACTAACCACTTCGTACATACAAACGGCGCTGCGATATTAACGAACCCTGTCACCGGCATTTCCCAGCGCCACCTAACTTCAATTGACCCCCAATTGGCGCGCCGAGGTCTCTCATTTTCAGTCTACTAACTCCTTTTTCTTTTATTAATGCTTCCGCTTAATTGCGGGCGGTGCGCGGGCCCTGCGCTGGTGCAACTGCGTGCAACACCTGCCGCGTCACGGCTCCATCCAAGACGGGCACGGAGCCGTCAACCGCCATGCCCGGCATTTATTAGCCATCCCAGCAACCCCTCGGGGACACATCACCCACAACTCAAATCGATACGTATCTTCCAGACCTTTTCCCCCTCTCGAGCATTCACAAATCGTATGCGCCGTTCGTTACACCCGGACCCGACATTACCTTCAAGAACCACGACCGCAACCACAACCAACCCAATACATCGTCACCTCCCCAACAATAACACCAAAAACAACGTCACCATCATGGGCGCCGGCACGACCCAACAAACACGAGGCCACGCCGGCCACAGCCACGGCCACGGTCATGGCCACCACCACCACCACCACCACGACAACGTCTACCTCACCTCGACCAACAAAAACGACGCCGGCGTGCGCATCACGCGCATCGGCCTGTACTCGAACCTGGGGATGGCCATCGCCAAGGGCGCAGGCGGGTACGCCTTCAATTCGCAGTCCATGATCGCCGACGCGTGGCACTCGCTGACCGACCTGGCCTCGGACGTGCTCACCCTGGCCACCGTGTCGTGGAGCTTGCGTCCGCCCACCGAGGCCTTCCCGCAGGGGTTTGGGAAGGTTGAGAGTCTCGGGTCGCTGGGCGTGTCGAGCATGTTGCTGTTTGGCGGGCTGTTTATGTGTATGGGCAGTTGCGAGACGCTATATGCGCATTTCTTTTTGGATGCCGAGGCCGCGCGCGCGATGCTGGAGCATGGCCATGGCCATGGTCACTCGCATGGGCATCATCATGGGCATGGACATGGGCATGGTGGTGCGCCGAGTCTGCATGCGGCGTGGCTGGCTGCCGGGACGGTTGCTATCAAGGAGTGGTTGTATCATGCTAGTACGTGCCCCTCCCTTCTCCCGCAATCAACAACTAACCCCCCACCCCCCTCCAGCCATGAAAGTCGCACGCGACCGCAAATCCTCCGTCCTCGCCTCCAACGCCGTCCACCACCGCGTCGACTCCCTCACCGGCATCGTCGCTTTATGCGCCATCCTCGGCGCCAACCTCCTCAAAGACGCCACCTGGCTCGACCCCGTCGGCGGGCTGCTCATCTCGCTTCTCGTCATCCGCGCCGGGCTGGGGAACACGCTCTCGGCGCTCTACGAGCTCGCCGACCGCTCCATCGACGCCGACGTGCGCGAGGCGGTCTCCAAGCACGCCGGCCGGGCCCTCGCCGAGGACGTCGCCGACGACCGGGGCGCGCAGGTCGACCTGCGCGACGTCACCGGCGTCAAGTCCGGCCAGAACTACCTCGTCGATCTTGAGCTGGCCGTGCCCGCCGAGTGGACCGTCGAGCAGGTGCGCGTCGTCGAGGAGGTGGTGCGCGCCCGCGTGGGCGCCAAGGTCCGTGGCGTGCGCCGCGTGCGCGTGCGCTTTGTGCCCCGCTCCGTGCCCGTGCCCGTGGATAGGTTTGATGAGTTTATTCCGGGGGATGTCAGTCCCAGGAGTAGCCCCGAGCCGGAGGAGGAGGATGAGAATGGGGGTGGGAAGGAGGCGCGCAAGTCGCAGTGAGGCCGCGGCTGGCTTGGCTAGTTGGCCGTTTACTTGTGACGGGGTGGAATGGCGCACCGTCCGCCTGGCCTGTGGTTCTGATCAGGGTCATCACTCCGCACCGTCGACCTGGCGAATACCGGGACGCGGGATGGTGTAGCCAAGGCGATAGAGTTCCGATCCGATCTGACAGAGGCGGTGGAAAGCGAAGAGCGCGACTCCGAGGCATTGGCCTTCTTAGTCGAGGGGGAATTCATGCTCATACTGGGGGGGATTTGGTACCCCCGTGTACATTCATTCGTACATAAGAATAGGTGATGGTGGCGATACCCAGCCCCTGGTAGCCAGGGGGCCCAGGAATTGGCGCGATATGATCGCAAAAATGAAGGAAATATATTCTCAACAGGTCACCACAACTTCAAAATGTGCATAATCACATGGGATGAATGGATATGAGATCCTTTCCTGGGGAGGTAAACCAGTGGTAAGGACGAGGTGACCACGATGTTGGTCCGGTACTCTTCCTATATTGACCCATGGGACCAGGCTCGAGCAAACGATATATAAACGGAGAATCATGACCTAAACACACACGATACAAAAGGAGGTCCGTTCGACGTCTATCAACTAGCATCACTCGCTCTATCCTCCACATGAATCAAATCTCAAGGCATCGAAAAAGAACCAAACCCTGTTTGCTTACTTGCTTGCTTGCTTTCTGCTGTATATCCCGTCATCAATGCAAATGCAAATGCAACAACAAAACTAACATTAAACAATAACCACCACCCTCAGATGGGAATGCACCAACAACAGCAATAGCAACAGCTGTAACAGCCAATCCGACGCCCCACCCACCCTATCCTGAAGATAACACAAAAAAAAAAAAAAAAAAAAAACAGCCGTGTACGTATGCACCATGCAGGCCAGCTAACAACAAAAAGCACACAACAAGACCACACACCTAGCTCGCCAGCAACGCAGCAATTCTATATGATATGCAACCATCAAACAAACCTCCTCTCCAGAATGCCACCACCCCTCCATCCCCCTTCTCCCACAATTTCTTATCATACCCACCTCACCCACCATCACAGGGCTGGACTCAGGACAGACTCACATGCATCAATCACATGTGCCCCTCCTTCTCTTCCAGCTCCCGCATATACTTGACAAACGTCTTCTTGTGCGTCTACACCACCACGACGTTAGCACAGCACAACACACACAGCCCACATCCTACACCCATCACAGGGTAGTTAGAGCCAAGGAGCAGAAAAAAGAACTCACCATCCCCGCATAGCGCCCATCCCGCAACACACAGATATACCGCAACCCCAACTTGACAAAGCACTCATAGACCAGATCCATCGGTGACCTGATATCCAGCGCCACGGGGGCGGGGTCAATAAACGGCGTAAAATCGGTCGGATCCGGTAGGCCGTCATCCGAGTCATCGATGCTCGGCACGGGGGCCATGAGACACAGACTCGACGGCTCGTCGCGGAGGTTATCGAGGGCGTACTCGAGGTCGGGGGCGGGGATGAGGCCGACGAGGATGCCGTCGCGGACGATGGGCAGGCCGCCGTCCAGCTCGCCGGCCTTGTGTAGTAGCTCGAGCTTGGCGCGCAGGCTGAGGGCGGGCACGACGGGCGAGGTGGTGATGTCGATGATGCGCTCCTTACGGACGCGCGGGACGATGTCGGCGAGGTCCGAGGTGAAGATGGGCTTGTGCTTGTTGTTGAGGTAGGGGTATGAGTTCATCTCCGTGAGGAGATCCTGATAGAGGTGTTAGTTTGGGGTGAAGGGTGGGGTGGAGGGGAGGGGTGGGTCGGGTCTTACGTAGATGCTGAGCGGCTCGATAGCATCAGCGGTCCACTTGGCGACTAGAATGGCTAGGGAGAACGGCAAAACATAGTCCAGACTCCCGGTGAGCTCAAACAAGATAACCGCCAGGGTGACAGACAAGCGAGTGACACCGCACATCGTTGAGCCGGCAGCGATGAGGCCGTACACGCCAGGTTGGATGCAGGTGGCATTCGGCATCTTCGCGCAAGTACCCCAGACACCCCAATCAGGCGTGGCCATGACCACCCACTGAACAACGTGTCCGACGAGGCGGCCCATGAGACCGCCGACCACCATGGACGGCACGTAGATACCGGCTGGGAGTTTCTGCCAGCTGTCAGCTGCATGTCATCAGAACGGAAGGATATCAAACTCACAATCCCAAAAGTGATAATAGTCAGGAACCCCTTGATCAAGAACGCGGTGAGTAGGTTCAGTAGAATAGGCGGGATGTCACCAATCTCCTCCGGGCACAATCCTAGGTCCTCTAGGTTGTTATCCCGGTCGTCACACGGGGCGGCAAGGTTGTAAAGTAGCTTGGCGACGGGGAGCTTGGTCAAGGTATTCCAGTACCCAATCAACCCCGTGACCAGCGCAACCAGCACCACCTCGAGAAGGGGATACGCCTTGATGGCGGGGATCCGGCGGAAGGTCTTGGCCCAGTGTCGGGAAGCCTTGATGAACAGGGCACCAGCAGCGCCGCCAAAAACACCAACCAAGATGAAGCTGATAATCTCAAAGTACTCCCAATCGACGAGGTATCGCACTTGAAACATGACGATCTTCTGCGTCCCGTAGGGGTTCAGGAACTTGAGCGTTAATGCGGCGGTGATGCAGCAGAAGAAGGTGCGGAAGAGCGTCTTGGCCGGGAAGAAGTAGGCCACCTCCTCCAAGCCGAAGAGCACGCCGCCGAGCGGAGCGCCAAAGGCCACAGCGACACCTGCCGCCGCCGCCGCCGAGAGGACCTCACGCCTCTTAGCGTCGTTGCGGTCGTACTTGGTGAAGAGACGGCAGGCGATGTTGCCGACGCAGGTTGCGATGTGCACATAGGGGCCTTCCTTACCCAAGCTGAGCCCAGAGGCTACGCTAAGAATTAAACCAAGGGTTTTGATGATGAGCGTCTTGAGACCGAGGAAGCCGTGCAGCACGAAGCCGCTGAGAATGACACGAACTTCGGCGACACCACTGCCGGCCGCCGAGTAGTAAATCATTGGGCGGCTGCTCGGCCTTTCCTAGTGTCAGGCCGGGGGGTTAATTGCCGGCCTCCGTTCGCGCCGTCCTCGGGGGGAGGGGCAGGAGCCTCGGCGGCGAGGTTCTCATCCAGCGTGGTCAGCCGGTACGCCGAAGGAACAACCGTCTTGGTCGTGAGGCTGAGGAGACACGACAAGCTCGCCAGCGTGATGACGGCAATGATGTATACGCCGTACTCGGTCCACCTCTCGCCGACGGGGAACTCCTGAGAACCTCACTCCAGTCCCGCCAGTCCGTACAGGGACCGTGGAGGGCAGCATTTCTGTACCACGGTCAGTTTCAGTCCAGATTCACCCGTCCCAATCATGGCCAGCGAAGTCTCATACTTTCTCCATTCACCAACCACCCCCTTCACGCAGTATCCATCCTTTAAGATCAAACACGGTCGCCTCGCTCACGTTGACCACATACGCCAGGACGGCGACGATAAACTCGACGAGGGCGCTCAGCAGCCAGCCCCTGGGCGCCGTCGAACAGCACGTAGACGCGGCCCCAAAAGTCCTTGCGACTCCGCAGGGCCTTGACCCGATAAGCGTCGGCGATGCTGTCGTGGACCCAATCGGTCGACGTGAACTGGTCGTACCACACGCGGTCGTCGGGGTAGAGTGAGCCCTTGGAGTCGGCCATGGACGACTCCTGGCGGTCCGACAGGGCGTGCATTAGGCGCGTGCCCCACGAGTTAGCGCGGCTGTGGTGCCGGATACTCCTTACGCTATCTGCGAAGAGAAGGAGTGGGTGGTTAGCTGGTGGAGGGGAGGGGAGGGGGGTATGTGACTCGGTGCGCGTACCCGCATAACTCTGGTTCCTCGACAGGAGGGGCACCCTCGGCGAGCCATGGGCGCTGTGGATGCGGATGCGCGAAGGTCGTGCCGCGCCCAGGAGAGGCGACCGTTCGTCAATCGGTTCGTTTGTGGACGGCCTCCTGCTCATGTTGGGTCGGGGCCTGCGGACATTTGTCGGGGAACTAGGGAGCGAGAGGTATTGACCCTGTTGTTCGGTGCCAGTGCTGGAGTCGGCGCCGCTGCCGTCGTTGTTGCTGTTGCCGGCGGCGACGATGTCGGGGAGACGAACCCCGTATCGCCTACTTGCCATGCGGAAGGGCTATGGAGCGAAGTGAGGGGTGGCCTCGGTGGGATATGGATAGATCGAGGGTGTCTCGAGAAACGATGGTGATGTCGTCACTGTGTAACTCGGTTAGACCAACCTAAGCCTGGAAACAGTCGAGCCGAGTATGGTTCACTCACCTTCCTCTCAAATCGCGGGGATAAAGAATTTCGGGTATTCAGCATCGGACATTCGGCGATCGGGTGAGGCAGGCGGAGCCTCGGGTTTCGAGTTTGGTGGGATGGAAACAAAGGGACGAAGACAAAATCGAACCAAGAATCAAGCTACACACGCGGTAGAAACAGCCAACTGAACCTGTAGCTTTCCCGGTACGGATCAGAAAAGAAAACGCCCGCCGCAATGCAAAACGAATGCAGAACGGAAACAAAGAGCAGCCAGCAACAGTATTGCCGCGAGGCCTGTAGATGGCGGCCTGGACCGGGACTCGGGTGTTTGGTTTCGAGAGCGGAGAAAAAGGTGGCTCATGGGCCAGGATGGGCGGCGTGAGGGAGGCTCAGAGGCTTGTTTGGCTGGGGGCCAACCCCCCACGTGCACACTTTCAGTGTCTCACTTGGCGTCATGGAGCGCTGCGCCAGAAACAAAAGGGGAGCACAGGAGCCATCAGGTGCCCCTGCCGTTTTCCCATTAGTGGAATGCCGAGCTGCACTGTGCAGCATCGCCATGAAAAAGAGCGCATAGGATGGAAGAAATGGAAGAAATGTCTCGGGAGGGGAAGCTTGAAAGAAAAGACCCCCAACTCGGCATGTTCTCGGTCAACAACAATCGCCGGAAAATACAAAGCAAGCGAATGGTGAACTGCATGACACGCGCGGGATGCACAGGGATCCCTTACTGTGCGGTTATGTCATAGCACTGAGAGCAACCCAACAGCTCTCCCGTCTTTCGGGGTGCATTGGTCGGACTTTTTTTAGGCGCTGCAGCCACGCCCAGACAAAGGATCCAGGAACTGGGGAACCCGGAAGTGGCGCGTTGCAGTTACAATGGCCTGGGACCCGCAATTCTGTGGGTAACAGACCGACTCGGTCAAGTCGGGCTCTCGAGGTCAATCAACGGGCCGCTGCTTGGCAGTTACCAAAGTCCATTGCCAGCCAACCTTGAACATCGACAATTTAAGAACTTGGTGAATTTGGGACCATCAGCAACGGGAAGGAAAGACGTAAAACACGAAATCCGGGTCGCAGGAGTCTGAAAAACACACGGCATCGTCAATAAAAGGATCTAAATCAAACATGGAAATTTTAGGGATTTAAGGATTGAGGATTTCCGTCATCTTGACAGCAACAATGGAGAAAGAGAAGGAAAAGAGGGAGGAGGAAGAAAAGGAAAAAGGGAAGCGACGAGCTGTGCCGAAATTCGGATCCTTCAAACCGAATCTTACTCCCGAGTCCGCGCCCGAGTCCGCGCCCGAGACACGGCCTGCGTCAAAAGAGAGGAGGGCCCACAAAGACGGCCTCAGTGGAGCCGAAAAGGATAGGAGTGACCGCCGCCATCATGAACGTGATCGTGGTCGTGATGGTGACCGTCATGGGGAACAACGCCATTCCAGCCATGTGAGGGAACGGGAACGGGAAAGGAAACGGGATAGGCATGGGGATCGGTATCGGGACTGGGACCAGGATCGGGAGAGGATTCGAGCTCGGGATAGGGAAGGAACTCGGGGTGGGGAGAGGGAGAGGGAGAGAGAAAGGGAGAGAGAAATGGAGAGAGAAAGGGAGAGAGAAAGGGTCGGGGAGAAGGATGGGCGTCAGGAACGTGAGAGGGAGAAAAGGAGAAGAAGGAACGGCGATGGGGAGCACCACCGTGACCACCATGAACAGCTACCCCCACGGCCAGGCAGCCCCAGGGCGATGTCAAGTCGAAATAAAACCGAACGCGAAGGCCTTTCCACCCTGAACGACGATCTCTTCGTCATCGACAAGCGTGGTGACCTGCTCATCGTTCAGTTCGGGACCAACGACCGCTCTCAGATTCCAGTCTATTACCGCTTCGGCGCAGGCAAAGTCATAGGCTCACCGGGATTCCTCACCATCCACCGCGACGGCGCCCAAGAACAGTTCAGCATCAGAGGGCCCGGCGAAGGCAGCAGCAGCGGCTCCGCCTTTCGCGACAAGGCACTCGTAGCAGCAGCCTTCCGCGCCCGTTCCAAACGCATCCAAATCTCCGAGGCCAACGTCCCAACAACACCCGAAGACTTCATCCCTCTCGGCCCGTCCCGCAAGCGAAAACGCACCGACGACGACCCGAGCGACCAGCCATTACCCGATTACCGCTCCATCCACGGCGAGGCGCGCGCCAACGTCCACCTCGACTCCGACCTCGACTCCTCCGACTCCGAGTCCGACCTCAACCCCCACTCCCACTCCCGCTCCCACCCGTGCTCCCCCTCTCCCAAACCAACCCAATCCCAACCCACCCCGCTCACCCGCGCCGCTCACCTCTCCCGCCACGTCAAAACCACCCCGACCGACATCCCCGCCTGGCTCGAGCTCATCGCCCTCCAAGACATCCTCTTCACCCTCCAAACCCAACACACCCCCACCACCCACCACCATCACCGCGCGCACCCCCGAAGAGATGCGCGCCCTCGCCGAACTGAAACTAGCCCTGTACCAGGAAGCCCTACCGCACGCTGCTACCGCAGGCCCGGCGGAGCGTGAGCGTGAGCGGCTGGTGCTGGGCATGATGCGCGAGGCGGGGCGGGTGTGGGGGGAGGAGGCGCTCGCGAGGAAGTGGGAGGAGCTTGTTGCTGAGGAGAAAGGTGGGGTTGGGTTTGGGTTGTGGAGGGCGCGGTTGGACTTTGAGATGGGCAGGGCGGCGGGGTTTGGGGTGGAGAGGGTGAGGGAGGAGATTGTGGGGAGGTTGGCGGGGTTGGGGGGGAGGCTTGCCGACTATGGGAGAGGTGGGGAGGGAGGAGAGGAACAGCTGTGTGGGCAGGCGGTGTACGTGTTTTTGCGGCTGACGCGGTTCTTCCATGATGCTGGGTTTGTGGAGCTGGCGGTTGCGGCATGGCAGGCGATGTTGGAGATGGTGTTCTGTCGGCCGCGGGGTGATTTTGCGACTGCTGAAGTGGCGATGGCGTCGTTTGCTGGGTTCTGGGAGAGCGAGGTGGCGCGGATAGGGGAGGAGGGCGCCAGAGGCTGGAGGCACTTCGTTGAGACGGGCGAGGACATGGCTGATCCGCCTGAGCCGAGGGCGGATGGGCCCAGCGAGGTGCCCAGGATGACAGACCCCTTTGAGGCTTGGGCTGCTGCGGAACAGCAGGCGGCAGGAAAGGCACGCATGCCTGCGAGGACGCTTGACGAGGGGATGGATGATGACCCATTTAGGGTTATCATGTTTTCGGATATCAAGGATCTGCTGATCTGGATTCCGTCGGCGCTGCTCTCGCGAGTGAAGCCCCTATTAGCCGACGCATTTCTCGTCTTCTGTGGACTTCCGCCGGCAGGGCTGTCAGGAGGGGAGTTTACGACTATGCTAGATGACCCGTTTGTTTCAAGCAGGGGTCAAGGTCTCGATCTCGGCTTGAGCAGAAAAGACACTGGGGCGACGCAAGATCTTTCGAGGCGGACGCCCGAGTTTAAACAGGAAGGAGGCAGCATGGTGATATCACCCGACGTCCTCTTCTCGAGAGATCCGTGGTCCCGGTATCTTAACAAGTGGTCAGATACCCATCAGCCGGGGGATAGACAAGTGGATATCTCATGGGTACTCTCTACACTGGAACGCTTGGTTAAAGATTGCGGTGTGGAGGCGCTAGCAGAGTATTACTTAGCGATGGAGTGGCTGAATGAGCCAACGAAAGCGAGAAAAGTCGCAAAGGGGCTTTTGAAACAGTACAGCTCCAATATTAAGCTGTACAATGCCTATGCTCTGGTCGAGTCGGCGAACGGCAACGCCGAAGTTTCTCATAAAGTCCTATCATCGGCCACTGGACTGGTGAGCCAACCCACCCCCCCCCCCCATACCCCTAGCCGGATACTAACATGGTTACCGCCCTCTGCCGCTGACAACCCACTTCTATGGAATACCTGGGCCTGGATTCCCCTCGGGTCCCGCCAAAATAGCCTGGCTCTTACCCGTCTAATCTCCTCGGTGGAAAAGGGGTTCCCGGGCTCCATCCCGGCCCCCCTCCTGCTTCTCAAGACCCGGAGCCATTTCTCCCGCCCCCCGGACTACTCACTCTCCTCTCAGCAGCTAAAAAACACAACGCAATATGCCGAAAGCCTGATGCTCCTCGAATACCTAACTTCCGAAGCCCGCGGTGAGCCTGCATACCAGGCCCCAGGGAACCTGAAGGGCAGTCTCTCCGCCATCCAGAACTTCTCCCCCGAGCTTGAAGCCCAGACCTCCAAAATCTCTCCACCACGAACGCCTCCTCCAAACCACCGCCCGCCTCCTCTACCACCACGCCACCCACGGGTATGTCCCCCCTACCCCCCCTCCCACCCCCAACCAATCCCATTACATTACCTAGGAATCAAACACACACACTCACCCCCCACCCCCACAACCACAGCCCGCACCACCCGCACACCCTGCTCACCCACCTCCAACACTCCACCCACCTCTTCCCGCACAACACCCTCTTCCTCGCCCTCTCCGCCTGGTGCCAGCCCCCGCTCCGCATCACCGACCCCGTGCGCACCACCCTGCACACCCTCTCCCTCACGCCGCCCCACGCCCGCCTCGGCACCCGCCGCTTCGCCCTGCACCACGCGGCGCGGGCGGGCGCGGGGACGGTGCATGCTGTGCGGGCGGAGTTTGAGGCCGCGTTGGGAGTGGGGGAGGGAGGTTTGGGTGGTGGTGGTGGGGGGTGTGCGGAGTTGTGGGTGCGGTACGTGCGGTTTTGTTGTGGGGAGAGGGAGTTGAGGGGGGTGGTGAAGGGGGTGTTTTATCGGGCGGTTGGGGCGTGTCCTGGGGTGAAGGAGGTTTATTTGGAGGGGTTGAGGGCGCCGGTGTTGAGGGAGGTGTTGGGGGAGGTGGAGGTTAGGGCGGTGAGGGAGGCGATGGTGGATAGGGGGTTGAGGGTGCATGTGGATTTTTGGGGGAGGTGAGTGAGTGAGTTGCTGGGGTGGGAGGGTGTATTCCGTATTCCGTACTTATTAGCTAGCGAGCGAGGCTGCGTGATTTATGCTAGCCGGTGTAAAATCTGAGACGAAACCAAACCAAAAAGGCGTGCTTATCCATATGTGGTCTGTATAGCTCCTTAAAGCCTGCCTAGTGACACCTTTTTAGTGTCACAGCTCATGACAAAAAGTCGAGTGTTCTCATGCCGTGATTTGACCTCAAGGCAAGCAAGTCTCTCAGGACGAGACGACGAGAAGGAGACCGTGTGGCCCCTTACTTGAAAATATACCAATCACTTAGCCACGGAAAGGGGTATAAGTTGGACGGAACGTCCATAGTTTGGTTCACGGAAATAATGTGCAGCATCTAAAGATATTGTAGAGAAAATGGCCGTATCATTTTGAAGTGAAGACGGGAGCGACGCTAGTATAAAGAAGTGTGGCCACCGCGGATTCGGAGGGGGGATCTACGTTCTACAGATACGCCGAACCGCATTCGCCAGGCCAACGGACTATCTGTGCGCCATGGACAGCCACAACGAGAAGGCTGGCTCAAATATCCGCTACATATCCGAGAGATAACTAGAATAACTAGAAAGGTGGGTGGCCATGACTAGGTATTTGGGCGAGAGACTGGCTGATGAAACCAGGGGAACATGTCTTGCAAAAGTCTAGTAAGATTAGATCTCTATATAGACAGACAAACAGACAAACATACGTAACAAAACCCACAAGCGGTGTGCCGTCCGCAGACCTCCAACGCCATCAATGACCGTAAACACACAACCTCCCAGCGCAAACTGTCCCAGAGCAGCCCACCCCAACCATACCCACGGCATCCAGTACAGTGTAGCACCGATGCCCACTAAGCAAACTCAGAGCCGTCCTCCTCCAACATAAAGTGTGGCTTGGATACCTCTCCCATCCCCACCTAGGTAGGCAGATCAGACCCTCACTAGGTGGCCTCAACCCCCATCCACCCAGGTATCTCATCCACCCAATTATCCCACATCTCACATCTCAGTCCCCTCCCAACCCCCGCCCCTCCCCCTCTCCCCTCGCCCTAACCGCCCAATCCCTAGTCCGAAGCTTCTAGCTCCTCGCCAGGCTGAGCAATCCACTGGCCGCCCCACCCCTCCCTTCCTCATCCTCATCCCCACCCTCACCCCCTTCCCTGGCATTCCTATCCCTGACATTGCCCCTGGTGGCATCACCAACAAGGCTCACCCGCCTCTCAAACGACATTGACGACGACGAGCCCGAGCCCGAGCCCGTCACACCAACGGCGGTCTGCGGCCGCGGCGGTATGGCGCTGTGTTCGGTGCTGCCGTGCATGTACCCCCTTGCGTCGTGCCGTGTGCCGAGGCCTTCGGATTGGCGGCGTTGGTGGGTGTGGGTGTGAGTGTGGTTGTTGTTGTTGTTGTTGTAGCGGGGGAGTTGGGGTTGGTGTGGGTGTTGCTGGTTGTGGTGGCGGTTGTGGTGCTGGTGGTTGTAGTGCTGGGGTTGTTGTTGTTGTCGCCGCTCGTCCCGGGCAATCGCCAGCCGCGCCTCTTCGAGCAGCACGCACCTTGACGGCGGGGCTTCGCGTACAACGTCACTGTCGAAGCTCACGCTGACGCTGCTGCTTGCCCGCCGGAGCGGTGCGCCGGGCAGGGGCCGCCTGCTACCCCCCTTACCCGGGGTACTGGTGGTGGATGTGAACGAGGCATTCGCTGGAAGTGTGAAGGACGTGGACGTGGACGTGGACGTGGACGTGGACGTGGACGTGGACGTGGACGTGGACGTGGACGTGGATGTTGAGCTGCGGCTGCGGCCTTGGTTCTGGCTTTGGGTTTGGCTCTGGTCCTGGCTCGGGCTGGGAAGGGATGTGGACGAGAATGAGGCCGTGGCGTGTTGGGCTTCTAACCTGTCTAGCGGCACGTCTGTCTGGCCGGTGCGGACTTTGTAGCTTGCTAGACCGAGGCGGAGGCGGATGATCTCTGCTTTCTGTTGGAGAGGGTCCTTGTTAGTGCCATGATGCTTCGATGCAATGGAGAGACCAGACATGGGTGCGGGGCAACCATACCTCTCTCGCCTGCTCGCGGGTTAACCTCCGCATAGTCCGCGGGGCCGGCCACGGTGCCACAGCGGGGACCGGTGCAGGTGCTGTGGCATCCGGTTCGGTAAGGATGGTAACCTGTGAGTTGTCTATTGCCGAGTTGTCAAACACTGAGGGCGTGGCCGGAGAAGCGGAGCGCTGTCGGACCGTGCCAGAGGTTCTGGTGGTCCATGATGAGGAAGGCGGGGACTGTACAAGATGTGTTAGTGCCAGAACGGTGAGACATGCAACTCAATCACTGAGCAAATGCGTACCTCTGGTCGACCGCCCAGTGCATCCTCTCTCGCATCCTCAAGACAGGCCCTCTTCGCAGCCGGCTCACTATCCCGCGCTACCGACTCCAACGGGGGAGTACTAGTAAAAGTGGGGGTAGGAGAGCGACGTTTCCTGGACTCGGTGCCCATCTCCTTCTCTGGGGTACCCGACACCGTCACCGCGGGGAAGGCTTGCCGCGGTGTGACCGACTTTGCCTTGATCGGGCTCCTTTGCTGCTGCTGTGTCGACGACGAGAACAGCTTGCCGTCGTGCCTCCTCGCCGCCTTGCTGGGCGAGCACGCGTTGGGGTCAAGTGCCCCGAGGGCGCGACGCTTGACGGGTGATGCTGCGTTCATATTTGGTTGGTGATTTGGAGGCTCCGTCTCCTGTAGGTATCTCCAGGAATTTGTTCGCGGTTGTACTCTACGTAAGGTAGTGTAGTAATAGTAGGGGTATATGCAAGCAGACGGTCAGACGCACGACCACCAATGATTAACTAGTTAACTGGTCAAGAAACCCTGGAATGAGAGTGAGGGAGAAAGAGAGAGAATGCGTGCATGTGTCGCAGAAGAAGTGTTAAAGACAGTCCCCGTCCCCGTCCCGCGGTTATTCAACGCGTCGACAAGGCCCTGGAAGTGGTGGGACACGAAAAAAGAATCCACAACCCTGGAGCGCGGCAGGTTCGCCATCTGAAATAAGGTACCTTCTGGTGGAGCCCACACCCCCAATACGGTCATTTGTAAATAGGCCTTGGACGCGTTTGCAACGGCCAACCCTCGAGTTGTGGCCGACATTCAAGGGTTAGACCCACCCGAGATCTCAGTTAGCGGGCGTGGCCGGCCAGGGTCCTGGTCTGATGGAGATCTCTGGCACGCTAAGATACAGGGGTCAACGCGCCGCGCTTCAGGGGCCCCAGCTGCTTTCGAGCGCGGGGGGCTGGGACCAGGAAACGCGATTTGCGTGTAAATTGGAGGGGTTCATCTCATTAACTTTTAAAGACGATAATCTGTAGATACACCCGTCTTCTCGATTTATCATGGAATGGGGGCAAATTGCCGCCCTGCGTTGCCATTGATCCCCAAATAAGGTACCCGACTGACTGATCGAACCCTCCCCTCCCCCCTATATGGATGGAATAAAAACATCAAACGCAGTAGCCATGCACAAACCGTCCCCAAAACACCGTCGTTGACAATGTACATGAATGGGTATCACCACTCTGCTCTGCCTGCTTGTGTCCCCGAAAGATATGCCCTAAGCCAGACCAGAAACTCCTCCAGAGTCCACGAGTGACCCAGTCCGGAGCCAACCCCAAGACATTGGAAACCCCGAGTAAAAAATAAACGAGACATAAAACAACCCAGAAAAAAAACATGACAAAAATACAGGCCTGCCCTAATGCCCGGGGCGGCCACACCCAAGGATAGTCGATGAAATCAATGAGTAACGCCAACCCTCCTTTTCCATTGATTAACCCCCCGCTCCATCCCAATGCATTGTTCCAACCGCGAATGCGCCTCCCTCCAGCTCCTTCGTCGGCGAGCCACCTTCTCTTTCTCATCTCCCATACATCCCTTCTAGTCCCATCGCTTAATTCATGTCGGTCGCATACAGGTCCTGGTTGACTCGGAACGGCTTCGAAAAGTCGGTTTGCATGTCCTCCATCGGAAACATCATCGACTCGTTTGTATATAGGTTCATGTCGGGCGAGGCCCAGTTATCCATGCCGAAGTGGTCCACACCGTAGACAATCTCGTTGTCGAGCGACTGCAGGTGCAGGTCGATGTTGATCATCGCGCCTTCGGTAATGTCGCTATTCTCTTCCGACGGCCCGCTGTACTTGCTCGAGGGCGTGTCGTTGGGCGTGAGCGATCGATACATGCTAAAGTCTGTCACGAACGTCCCATTGACCGTATCCAACTGGGGGCCAAGGCCCGCGAAGAGGTGTTGTGGGTCAACCGTCGAGTTCGTCCACGGGTCGTCGGCTGGTATCTGGGGGGTTCCAGCCCCTTGTTTGGCCGTCGCGTTCCTGCCAGGAGTGCCGACGGTTTCGCCCGCCTTGGCCCCTGCGGCGCTGCCCTGTCGCTGCATGGATCCGCCTCGGGACATCGGTGGTGCTCCCGGCTTTTGACCCTGCTTCGAGGGGTTGAGGCTCATCGGCGCCGCCGCCGGGGTCGAGACAGCCGAGACACCCGGGCCGCTCGATTTCGGCACCACCTTGGGGTTGCCCTGGGGATCCAGTCCGAAGGCGGCAGCCATGTGCTCCCGCACAAAGGCTTGCGGATTCTCATATGGCCTGATATGTTCCTCCTGGAGATGCATATTGCGCGCTTCCTCGGTCGAAAACCCCACCGAATTCATCTCGCAGTCAGGCTCCGGACAAGTCAGTTTGGGCGGCTCCGGCTTCCTAACAGCCACGGGGGACGGAACGTTAACCTGGGGCGATGCTGAGCTGGGCGTGTGTTGCTGGACCACCGGCGGTGAGGCATGGGCCGCTGCCGTCTTAGCCTTCTTGCGGGCAGGCATGACCAAGTCGTTCCGCGTAACACGCTGCTCGCCATAGTATTCTGGGTTTCCAGCGCCCGCAGGCGACTTCTGGGCGCCAAATTGGAACGGCGGCTGCGACGTCGTTGGTGCCGCTGGAGCCTGCGCCGTCTTGCCGGCCGTCCGGTTCTGCGCCTGCTTGAGAGCCTGGGTCTGTTTCTCCAAGTTCGCAGCGCTCAAGGGCGACGGCTGCGGCGGGACTTGGGTTGCCGCTTGGGCGCCGCCGCCCGCTGCTTCTTGGGCCGCCGATCTCTTAAACACCTCCATATCCTGCAGCATGCTGTCCATCATGGAGATATACGGATCCAACTCCTCCTTAGTTATGGTTAACGAATCCGATAGCTGGGACATGCGATCCGTGTCGGCGAACTGTTTGGCCACCTTGGAGCGCTAGAGTAGCTGTTAGCAAAACTATCAAGCCCGGTAGCCACCTGGGGGGGTTAAGAGAAGCACGTACAATCTTAAAGTACATTCTAGCCCGTGAGTCGTCTTTGGTTTGATGGTACCACCTTGCGATCCCGACTCGGATCTGTTTGAGCTTCTCAGAGGCCTGGACAATCTTGGCGCGAGTCTCATTGAGTGCTGCTGGTGACATTGCTATCCCAGCGCCTTGCTGTTGCGCTTCCTGAAGCCCTAGTTCATCGAGCGCCAGCCGGTGGCCCTCGAGAGCAAGGTTTTTCAAGCGGGCAACAGTCTCAGGCGGCGCCGGCGGCACTTGACGAATCCGCATCGCAATCGCTCTTTGTTGCTCTGGCGTGAGCTTTGCCAACTGCTCCGGGTTTATTCTTGCAAGTTGCTCTGGCGGAAGCTTCATAAGTTGCTCCAACGTCGGCTTTGAGCCCGAGGGAACAGGCCGAGCGTCCGGTTGGGGAGCGGGTCGCTGTGCAGCACCGCTCGACTGGCCCGACACGTCTTCCACGTCATCCTGATGTGGCCGCTTCAAATTCTTCCCTGCCGTTGAAGGTGACGGGTTCGGGGGCGGCGGTCGTGCAGCTTTCGCAGCAGCGGGCGGCGCGTCCGCTGCCGGAGTGGTCACAGGCTTCGGCTGGGCAGCCTGGTGCTGGACTCCCATCAGTGGGCTCGGCTTCGGCGGCGCGGTGACGCCACCCTGTTGGCTCGCTGGAGATTGAGACACCGGGATGCCTGGTTTCTGGGGCCCGCCAGGGAGGCTCATGTTGCCCCGTTGCTGAGCTTGGTTGTACTGGTCCCAAGCTCTCCTAGCCATGAGATCCCGCTTGAATTTTCTAACAAAATCCGCCACAGCCTCATCTGACATATTTTGAAACTGGGGGTTCCTCCGTGCGCTTTCGATGTCTGACGAGACACCTGCGAAATGTTAGGCGGGTATGAAAATCCCGGAGGCAATGCCTGCGGCTGGGAGCTGCGTTGCTGAAGAACAGGGCCATTCGAGCCCTGTGGAGTTCCTGTCGGCGCCGCCTGCGGTCTCCTATCCCATGTCTGCTTAAACTGGCTTATTTGTAGCTGATTCAGCCGAGTTATCAGTGGTTGGGGGGCGACGTTGGGGTTGGCATGAAGGAACTGTCGAAGTTGGGCCCATCGCCGCGTCTCGGCCGGTACCATGGTGCGAAATTGTGCCAGGATCTGAGGAGGCACATCCATGTTGTTCATTGCTGCTCGGCCCTGCGGGGATTGAGCGTAGGCGAAAAATTGCTGGTCCCCGTTTGCAGGTAGTTGCTTATGTTGTTGCATCGCTGCGGGCTGACCCATCGACTGCATCGCGCCGTTGCCTTTCTGGTTCGGGTCGAGAACGGCGGCCTGGTTCGGGCCGCCCATCGCATTAGGTTGGGAGGCCCCTGGAATGCCGGACAATAAGCCCGGCTTGGGGCCTTGGAAGCCGTTGTTGGCCGCGCGGTCTTGCTGCAATTTGGCATAAAAGTTCCTCATGGCGTCGTTGGTGTTGAGGTTTGGCCCCATCCCAACAGCCATAGCCGGGTCGTTCATGTTTCCTTGCAGCGATACCGGCCGCGGGTTGTTCTGATGGTTGAACTGCGGGTTGAGAGTGGCCGCCATGGGCTGGTTTCCCTGGTTAACGGCGTGTTGCACGTTGCCTTGGCCCATATTCAAAGGCTGCTGTCTCATGGGCGCGGTGAGCGTATTCATCGCCGGACTTTGGGAAGCCTGGGCGGGGGTGGTTTGGCGTCGGCATTGCCCCTGCTTGGCCAGGCATAGGCCGGCCGCCGACCACCCGCACTCCCATCGGACCCTGGACTTGGGCAGCCGTAGGGTCCACATTCGGCTGCATGCCGAACGGTTGCCCTTGCGGCACTCGCGGTGTCTGATTCGGCCCCTGCTGGTTGCCCGCCGTGGGCATGCCAGCCATTGCACCCTGCGTGACGCCGCGGCCCGCAGCGGTACTGGCGGGAACCACCGTTTGCCCGGCTAGCTGCGCACGTACGCCCATCTGGTGCTCGTTGCGGATATCGTCCATGTTTGGGGCGAAGGTTTGGCCATCAGGCATTACCGACTGTCGGCCCAAATTCATGAGGGCGGGGTTCATCTGGCCCTGGTGCGTTGACGGAGGCATCGCGTTGGTCGGCATCCCTGGCCGCTGTTGTTGCTGCGGGTGTTGTTGTTGTTGCTGCTGCTGCTGTTGCTGTTGCAGTAAATTTCTCTGAGCGGAGGCGCGCAGTTGTGTAAGGGCGCTATTCTGGTAGAAGGTAAAAACAGGGTCTTTGCCTTGGGTAGCGTATTCTTGCAATTGATTCGCCGTCATCCTCTGTTGTAGGATCTGTCGGATATGGTTTTTTTGCGTCTCGTCGGCTGCGCTCATCATCTTCGCAGCTACGTTATTGACCTTCATTTTGTCCGCCTGGTTTAATTGCGCAAGGGGATCGACTTGGAATAGGTTCGGTTGCCGCGCCTGGTGCCATCTGTTGCAACTGGTATTGGCGTTGATCCGGCCGGGTCTGGAGGATGCCTGCGGTCGGCATTCCTATGCCTAACGGCTGAGGCTGCTGGGAGCATCACAGGGACCTGCATCGGGTTCTGCATCGGCTGGAATCCATGCTGGGGTTGGCCCAAGCCTCTTGCCGCCATCTGGTTCATCATCATCTGCTGTTGCTGCTGCTGTTGTTGTTGCCGCTGTTGTTGCGCAGCCTGCAATTGAGCTTGCCTCACAGCATCGCTGTTCACGTGGTTTTGAAGATCTGGTGCGTGTCCCTGTCGCCGTTTGACCATCTCCCCTATCCTCGCTGCCATAGCGTGCTCGTACGATTGCTACGTCCGTGTCAGATCGAATTGCTCCTGGTTTGAACATAATGGAGAAGCGCGCACCTTGTCCGGCGACTGTAAGTACAACTTCTTCTCGAAATCCATTGCCGTCATGCAGATCTTCTGCCACTCGTTGTTAGGAAAGGCTAAGATGGAATTGGACACCCTAAGAACTATTAGCGGGTCTCCAAGGCTTCATCATGAGTGCCACAAGCCGAGGTCAAACACAACAGCAATCGGAGCGGGGTTCGACTTGAAATAGGGGGGGAAGGGGGATGGCCCGTACAGGTTACTAGTTTTCGCGAAACGATCCCCGATGTTAACTTGAGATTGCCACGAATTGGCAGCCGCGAGCCCCATGCTCTGCATCAGGTTGTTGTAGATTAGAGTCTGAAATTGTTTGTTTTGCGTCTGTGGTTGTTGTTGCTGTTGATGCTGTTGCTGTTGTTGTTGCTGGTGCTGTTGCTGGGCTTGTTGTTGCTGCGCCTGCTGTTGCAACATCATCATTTGACCGTTCATGGCCATCTGCGGTATATTGCCGGCCATGGCCGCGGAATCGTGGTGATAAAGCGTATGGCAGCGTGGAGCTGCAACTCAGCACAACCGCGGCGCCTCGAGGCGGGCCGAGTGACCAACTGGGTCAGGCCAGTCAAGGGCTCGCGAGCGAAGTACAATAACCCGTTGCGGGAGATGGCTCGATTGAATCGTTCACAGGTGAAGGTCCGAAACGAAGGGGCTGAGGAGTCGTCTGCGCAGCGATCGCATCTGTTTCGACGGCGAAATCTCTGGGAAAGCAAGGGGTTGAGGCGGGTATAGAAAAGAAGAAAGTCGGTCGGTCGGGTTCCGGAGTGTGGCAGCGAACCAGTCGGTGGATGATGGGTGACGGGGGTCGCACTGGCAACCGAAAAGCATAAAACCAAAAGGTGACTCGGCGGAAAGGCGGGTTGAGAAAAGTAGGTAATTAAGACGAGGTGTGAGAGCACACCACGGAGGGCGGATGGTGGTTGTAAAGAAAAAGGGACAAGGTGAAGCAAAGCTTGGGGTGCGAGTTTGCGGGTACCTGGGCGGCGTGAAGTGGGAGGGAAACGATGGAAGCGGAATGGGGAAGAGAACGACGGGACCTGGCGCGAGGATGTGGGCTGCAATCGCCAAGCCTGCCTGCTGGGCGGTTAAGTGGGTCCACGCCCAAGAGCCAAGACCAAAAATGGCGGCCAAGACTAAACCTTGTCTGTCGCAGCCGGAAGCAGAAGTGAAACTGTGAACGACAGTGCTGGATTAGGGATTGGGGAGGGCAGTTTGTGTGAGCAAATGGTGTTTTTGCCCTCGCACACAGCAGCATCTAGGGGCGGCGGATTATATAGGATATCGGTGTTCATGGGAAACCTGGCTGACGTATTCTCGAATCTCGATGCAGCGGGGACATACATAGGTAGGTAGGTTTAGGTTCTGTCCTCTGTCCATGCAATCACGCCTCTGGCACGGGGCGGGAATGCCTAGGCCTGGTGCCACTCCATAGAAGAGCCCGAAGTGAGTTAGTATTACGCACATACATACTGATCTCAGGAAGCAGCTAGAATTTGAATCGGGTCAGTGATGCTTCAGCATGTTCTACAAAGCAAATCGACGAGACAAGTATGGGCGGGGAGAGAAAACCCAAGTAAGGAGGGTATTATGAGACAGACATGGGTGGCGAGGAGTTTATGATTTGGTGCGCAGGGGAGTTGCAACTCGGCGGGGTGGCTCGTGGCCTTGCAGCGACACATCAACACCTCACCTCAACACCACCACCACCTGCTTGAGCTTTTCAGCACAAGGTCCGTCCGATTTTCACGTAGTTGATTGTGGAGGTCCCGCGAGCACTGCTCGAAAATACATATAAAACGCTGTAATTTTCTAATCGTTAACGAATGATTTTATTTTTTCCCCCTTCCATTTGCATTTCCCGGATGCTTTTGCCGAGTTTCGCACACAAGGCAGTCAGTCAAGTGGCCGGAGCGAATGAGGCTGAAGGTGGTCATCCTCGCACCGACTGGTGTCCCCCCTCCCGCCAAAAATTCAAATGTCCCGTTTTTCTAACCTTGCCCATCTCACCGAAAGTTCTGTTTTCTTGTTTCCATTCATTGCCAGCAGCAGCCTTACCTAACCCTGAGACCGCCTGACATACCTAGCGAGTTGTGCCCGGCGTTCCTCGACAACACCGCCGTCCTGGCGAAATGAGGGTGCAATTCTTGTCGCTCGCCCGACTCCGACTCCATCCAGCGGTTGGGATCAGAGCCAGGATAACCCTGGCTCAGCCACGCATCGATCCACTCGCCGCCAAACCACAAACCTGTTCCACAAACCTATTCTGGCCCCGTGGTCCTCGGACTATTGGTCGAGCGACGGGCGACGAAAGGTATGGATAACTAGCTTTTTGTTTTTTGTTTTTTTTTTAATCTGCTGTATAGAACAAACCGAACGACAAGATACACCAACCATCGCAATGCCCGCTCTCGCCATTTTGGCGCGAAACCAGAGGATCCCACTCTTCAAACGTTGCAAAGGCTCAGCATCCTCCTGTCAGACATGGCAGGGGACCACCCCGCTAGCAACGGTCTTGGGCTGTCTGTGCGCAGGCTGCGGGTCCAAAACAAAGCTTGGATGGATTTGAGATGCGTCACATTGTTGGTGCTCTCTGCTGCCTTCCTTCGCTGCCCTCGTAATGCTAACAAAAGCCCTCCGCCCCCTCGAGGACCAGAGATGGGCAGACGAGCCAGGCTTCCAAATAACTAGTTGCAACTAAACTAACATGTGTGGAAATCTTCCACGCAAATCTCGAGAAGCGAGGACTTCCGTGAAAGGGAAATGGTGTCCTCGGCACCCGTCCCAAATCCTTCCGGCAATTCAACATCCCCAATCCTTGTCCGCCAACAGCATTTGGCCGCTCTATCCTGCCCGTTATGGAATCCTAGTTTGAGCATTAACAATACACAGTACACGCTGCTGCATAGATGCTATTCTTGTTGTCTTTAGGATTCAGATGCTGGAAGGGAGCAACCGATCGGTTTTTTACAAAACCAAAACTCGAATCGGAGCGCCGTGATGGTTCGCTTTTCGTTGCAAACCGCTTCTCGGCGACCACCAACCAACCCGTCCATATTCAGTAACCGGGCTGCAAGCAAGTCTTCGGGCAGCTCAATGCGCAACACCACCACCCAAATTCGGGCTTGAAATCTGCGACTTGTCCCTGAGACACGGCCCAAAAAAATTCAAGAGATAAGAGTTCGCCCAATTTGACCCGTCGCCACGGCCTGTCCGGCTGTATTCCAACTGGACCGAGTTCCACGCCCTGCAGGACATGGCCCCTTTCGCCGCACACCTTGCTCTGGTTTAACTATCGTCGCACGCAAGGCTGCGCTTGCTTCCCCTCGCCCGAGTTTTTCTTTTTTCTTAATTTCAGGGACGGGCACAGGGCAAACAGTCGGGAGGTTGAGGTGAGGTCCTGCCTGCCTGCCTGCTCTTGCCCCCTTGCCCCCCGTCATGTCGCTGTTGGTTGGCGATTTGCTGGTGGAGGTGGGAGGAGGTGGGCGAGCCCCCTCGTTGGCCAGATACACGCCGCTCTTCACTCTCCCTTTCTCTTCCAACACCACACCACACCGCCCGACATGGATGGTAAATACCCGCAGAGCACGGTTTCCAGCACGAGGCTACAGGACCCGCAACAAACCTTGAGCTTGTCATGTCATTGTCATCTCATCCGCTTTTTTTTTCCCGCGATCCACAAATCATTCATAATCCATCCAGCCATCATGCGCATCCATACCAACCCCCCTTCCAAAATCCCGGTCTCAACCATATGTCACCATCAATGGCCAACAAGCACCTCATGACAATTTCGGGCCAGGAACGGTTACGGAAGTCGGATAACCCCCCCTTCCCAAACGGCGAGGGAGGGTTGCATACATCGAAGATCAGGGCCAGGGGGTTCTCGGCCTCCCTCTGCACGCTCGCTCGCTCGCAGCTTGCTCCTGCTCAAGAAGGGAAGGACGGGGGGATGGAAAAGCAGGGCCAGCCCCAAATCGGGGGGATTTCAGCAGCAGCGGTCGCAACGGCAGCAACAACCAGCAGCAACACCCAACACAGCAGCGGCGGCGAACAAGAAAGCTGTAACACGGCGCTTGTCCGCTTCTGGCCGGCGCGGCGGGCGTCCTGCTGCGAAGGGGCCTGCGACAGCTCTCTTTTTCTCTGAGCGCCGCCCCCCTTCCCTTCTCTCCCCCCTGTCTCCCGTGGCTTATCCGCCCCTGTCCGGCCAATGAGTGCGTCCGGCCGGCCTTCGGGGCCCATCGGGGGGTGGGGTGAGTGATCGGAAAATCCCTGCACCGGCTGGGCGCGGGTGACGAGAATAGCAATTGCGTGAGACGGCGGGCCCTCTTCTACTCCCTTTTGCTGGCTTTGGAGGAGGGGTTTCCATCCCGCTGGGGAATGGCGTGTTTTGGTTTGTATCAGCTTTTTTTTGCTGTGTGCTGCTGCTGCCTTTGTGATTATTTGCTGACGGGATGGGGAGTTGTTGGATTTGCGTTGGTGACGGGACCGGGTTGCTGGTGAAATTCGGGACGGGATGGAACGCGGGGAATCGTTGGTGGGTTGTTGGCCGCCACCTCCCCCCTCCCCCTTCCTCTCTCAGACAAGCCAGCGGGGGGATCCAAGTGATTGGCCCCAACCGTCGCAACCGTCGAAGCTTTCCAGATCCGCGCGACAGCTCGCCCCACATCTTGACGATCAGACAGAGGACAGACGTGCAGCGTGCTTGGTGAAGAAGCCCAATGGGAGATTTCCTTTGGGTGGCGGTTTTGGAATTGCGCCGTGATTTCCCTTGCCTCTTTTGATGAGTTGACACATGAGGGGACTCCCGAACGGGAGACGCCTCTCGATCTCCTCCCGACTTGTGCCCATGATCGTCTCAATCTCCGGGGATCGGGTTTCTCCGTCTAGCCCGTCTCTCGTCTGGACGCCTCAGCACGGCCGTGTCCAGGGAGCCCAGACGGCAGCTACACGAGCTGCTTTGGTGTCGTGGGGGCAGGAGGAACTTCGCTCAAAGGTTTGAGGCGGCCAGCTTTGGCCCCCTCTACTGTAGTAGACATGGAGCTCACAGGGATGACTTGAATAATGTCCCGCACAAGCTTACACTGCGAATGCTATAGTTATCCTGCTCTCGAAAAGTCAGCGGCGAAACCGGCCAGTGTTCAGCTCACCTGAATGTTCGGAATGGCAGGCGCCTGGAAATTTGCCGCCTGCGCGCCTCCGAGGTTACACGAGGCGCTGCTACTCGACGGTCCGTCGGTCTCGCAGGAGGGAGCTGAACCGGGCCCAGCAGAAGCAAGGCTCACAAGCGACGCTGAAAGTATGCAGCTGACTGGCCATGTGAGGGCGCGGTCGTGGATTGCGCAACTGTGCATTCATACACCCCAAACCCCAAATCTGACAACACACACGTATTGTGGTAGAAGAGACGTATGCAGGTATGTGCTGTGTATGGATGTAGTACCACCACGAGTCATCCGGCAAACAAGACACCCGTCAGTGTCATCATGGCTCTGCAAGTCAGCAAGAGCGTGACTGCAGCGAGGCCGCGGCAGAGGGTCATTCGTTCGCGATGCGGCCCAAAAATGAAATGGCAGTAGCACGAAGTAGGTTATTTCGGCGAAAGGTGTTGGGAAATAACCTCAATTCCATTCCGTCCCCCACCCCCCAGGTCTTGATGGTGGCTGGCCGATAAATCGAAGACCCGGGGAGATGGGCTGGGCTGGTTTGGGGGCCCCTGCCTGCTGAAGCTTTCGTCAACTTCTGAACCTTCCAGCCCGCCAGTGAGCCCCAGTGGCGGGCGTGGCTCCCAACTCAGAGCAGATTGTGGCTCGTGCGTAGGATGCCAAGATTAATGGGGCGCATTAGCATTAATGGGTCATTGATTGGCTGTACGGCAGTTAAGTGCCATTCGTCCCCACATCTGCCTCTTGCGCTTTCGTCTCTTTCTCGTGCATTTTCACGATGTTAAAGTCCATTGGTGAGCTTGTCCAACATATTCGTACAATACAGCTTTGATGATGGAGCAACCATATCTAAGGTAGCCATAGTGTCTTCATGTACCCACGACACCAAGCAACCCTCACAGCCACATCTCCTTGTGAAGAAGCTCACTAACTGGCCCCACCTGGCACAGCTCAAGTGGGACCTTTGTGTGAAAGTCTCCGCAGCAGAGTGTGCAAGGAGTGAGCTCTGTGTGGTGCATTCATGTGGTGGTGCGTGTGGACTTCCAGGTTGACCCCACGTCGATGATCAAGAGGAACCTACCTAGCTCACCTAACCAGGCAACTGGCACGGGATGGCTTCCTCCCCCTCGATGCAAAGAAATATCCCGAGGCTGGGTAACCGAGTCTTCCCCACGTTGTATTTTCTGCAGGCAGTTGGGGGTTCGATCAGCTCAGGACCTCTATTCACTTCCACTTTGTGTGCGTCGCGAGTTGCTCGTGTGACTTTGACGACGGCGTCAAGATCAAGTCCAAGATCAAGTTCGAGTTCTACTTTTGCTTCTACTTTAACTTCAAATCCCATCTTCTTGCATCGACGTTGTTATTCTTCAACTACCACACCCGCATCTCCCTCTGCATCCCCATCCGCACTCGCTTCCGCCCCTCCAACTCCATCTCCAACTTCACCCGCATCCGCATCCGCATCCGCTGCCAGCCGAGGTCCTGCCAAGATCAAGATGGCTCCCTCCAAGTCTGCCCTCGAGTTCCTCGACTTTGTCAATGCCTCGCCGACGCGTACGTTGCCCTTCTTCTTGCCATTGACTATCTCTTAACATCATCGCCGAGGTTGCGCGACACTATGTGCTAACCTCCACTACTAGCCTACCACGCCGTCGCCGAAGCCGCCGCCCTTCTCGATGCCGCAGGCTTCACCAAGATCCAGGAGCGCGACAACTGGGCCTCGATCGTCAAGCCCGGCGGCAAGTACTACACGACTCGTAATAGCTCCTCGGTCGTGGCCTTTGCCGTCGGCGCGCAGTGGAAGTCGGGCAACCCAATTGCCATGGTTGGCGCCCACACAGATTCTCCGTGCCTTCGTATCAAGCCCAACAGCAAGCGCACCGCGAACGGTTACTTACAAGTTGGTGTCGAAACATATGGCGGCGGTATCTGGCACAGCTGGTTCGATCGTGACCTGAGCGTGGCGGGTCGTGTCCTGGTGCGCGAGGGCGATGGTGAGGGCAAGTTCGTGCAGAAGCTGGTCAAGGTCGACAAGCCGATCCTGAGGATCCCGACTCTGGCCATCCACTTGCACCGGCAGACCAACTTCGACCCCAATAAGGAAGACGAGATGCTGCCCATCGCCGGCCTGGCCGCGGCGGAGCTGAACAAGACGGCCGAAGCCGAGACGGGATCGGAGGGCGACTTCCAGCCCCTGGCGGCGATGCCCGAGCGCCACCACCCGGCCTTCCTGTCCCTCGTGGCCGAACACGCCGGTGTCAACGTCTCCCAGATCGTCGACTTCGAGCTCATCCTCTACGACACCCAGAAGTCATGCCTCGGCGGGCTCAACGACGAGTTCATCCTCTCGGCCCGCCTCGACAACCTCAACATGACCTTCTGCAGCGTCAAGGGCATCATCTCCTCTGTCGAATCAACTCCCCTCGACAAGGACACCACCATCCGCCTCGTCGCCTGCTTCGACCACGAGGAGATCGGCTCCCTCTCGGCCCACGGCGCCGACTCCAACCTCCTCCCGGCCATCCTCCGCCGCCTGTCCGTCCTTCCCGGCAACGACACCACCACCACCGCCTCAGACCTCGCCGCATCCACGGCCTTCGAACAGACCTGCGCAGCCTCTTTCCTCCTCTCCGCCGACATGGCGCACGCCGTGCACCCCAACTACGCGGCCAAATACGAGCGGCAGCACACGCCCGCCATCAACGCGGGCCCCGTCATCAAGATCAACGCCAACCAGCGCTACGCCACCAACTCGCCCGGCATCGTGCTCGTCCAGGAGGTCGCCCGCGCCGCCCGCGTGCCCCTGCAGCTCTTCGTGGTCAAGAACGACTCCCCCTGCGGCAGCACCATCGGGCCCATGCTGTCGGCCAAGCTGGGCCTGCGCACCCTGGATATGGGCAACCCCCAGCTGAGCATGCATAGTATTCGGGAGATGGGCGGCGCGGGCGATGTGGAGAGCGCGGTGCGCTTGTTTGCGGCGTTTTTGGGCCGGTTTGGGGAGCTGGAGGGGCGGATTTTGGTGGATTGAGGGAAGGGGGGGAAGGGTTGGTCAGGGGACGGGAGGGCTGGGTGAATCCATCATCAGTCCAGTCGGTCCGGGGATGATGCGGGTTGACTGGCGTTGTATGTGTTGGGTAGTAGTGTAGCTGGGTACCTCGGCGTAGGAAATACGATGGTTGTACCAAATACGTTTGGGAAGTTGATCTTGGGTGCTGGGCATTCTGTGCCATGTCCGTCCGTGTCGATCTGCCCGGTTATGGTACCCAAGGGTATGCCAGAACTCCGGTGTTGTCAAACAAGTCCTCGACACATCGACACATATGGGAAGTTCATGTGAATTGTGGAATGAAGTTGGTATTTTTTTTACGTCTTGGAGATCCTGGAAGATTGACTGACAGTAAGCACCGGGACGAGAATACTTCATCTACTTGCGGCACCATTCTGCAGCATCATCAGAACAACACTGCCGTGGCGGGCAGCGGCGAGACTGGTTAGGGCCGGGTATGATCGTGGACTGTGGGAAGCAATCGTTTGTTGCTCAATACCCCTTTCCTTGTTCGAAGACTCGGCCGGCATCCCGGCCAAATACGAGTTCTCGTACTCGATGTTTTCCCCGACATCGTTCTCGTCGAGCGGCGGCAGGGTGGCTTTCGGTACGGATATTGTGGCACCGGCTCCCCGTCGACCCACCATTTTCCTTCCTGCCCGTTGACGCGGCCCCGACCGCAGTGCCCGTCGGGCATGAGGAACGCCAGGGGGTCGATGCCATCGCCGGGGGTTAGCGCCGGAGTGGGCTCAAGGAGGGGAGCTGGCGCAGGAGTGGGCTCGAGAATGGACACCTCCGGCACCCCATCAGGCCAAGCGTGCAGCGCGAGTCGAACCGGTTGCGCATCCACTCCCAGTACACTGGGTCGATAAACCGCGGCGAAGCATACAAGCCCCCGACCGTCCGGATGAGCAGCTTAGCGCTCGAGTCGCAGACCTCCGACAACAAAAGATTCACCAGCAGTCTGAGGAACCCCCCATAGCAAAAGAAGGTCCCCCCACAGCGCTAGAAGCTTCCCTCACAGCAAAAAAGATCCCCTCCTGATAGAAGAATGTCCCCCATGAGCAGAGGAGAATCCGCCCCTGGAAAACCCACTCGTAGAACAGCGTGGTGCTATCGAAAACTGGGTAGAGTTTTGGCATATCTATATTATGTGGGTAAAAGTAATTTAGATTAGTGACCATGTATAGCTGAAATCAACATCAGCTAGCTGGGAAGCATTGATGAAGTGTCCACCAGATGACAGCCTTGTTTCGGTCAAGGGAGCTAATTGAGTATGAAAATATAGATACCCGTTACCTATCTGTATCTACCTCAACTAGTTACTCTAAGAGCTCGCGAATCTATCGCACATACTAATTGCCTATTATTAACTACGTTTAGTATAGTTATCAGAAGGCAATTATTAAGCTTTTATCCCTCCTAGAAGGGCACTTATCATCTTCACATAATACCTCAAGAAAGGGGTGGGTGCAGCAAGTTCTTGATGAAAATTGATTGATTAAAGATAACTAAGGAAACATCAAAGATCATGGACGCACGCCTCAGATAGAGTCGGGTCATCGATGCCCGGACTCTCCCAGCCTCGTCATTGACGTTAGCAACGGGTGTTGCGTCAGCGCCTCGAGGCCAGATCTCCTTGACTGTGAGGCTGTATCCGTTGCTCAGGGCATGAGCCTTGATACCCTCGTCAGCCTCGGCAAAGGTGGCGTAGGTTGCCGGTGGTGGCGGCGGGCCGCAGGGCGCTCCGGCGCCAGCTATTGGCAGCTGCTCCTGCTGGGAGCCGGATATTGAAGAGGAGCAGTTGGGCACTGTCGGTGACGATGGGTCATAGCCCAACTACACGTTGGAACACCACGATATCTGCGGTTGAACAATATCTCAAAAAGGGCCGACATAACCTCGGCTCATATATTACCAGTTCAAATAACAATAGGCGACTAGAAGTCCAAGTGCATACCTGCTGGAACACCACGGTGCTACAGCCGCGGTTGAACCGTATCCATATTTTTCCAACCAATCCTTCACTTGCTGTGGTCCTCATCCCCAAAACACCATCCGTTTCTCGCGATGGGCAATTGTGTCATGTCTTACCAAAGTGTGTGCTCCTTATATCCAGAATAAACAAAAAGGGTAAGGGGTAAGGGTAGTATTCGTGAGGCGGCTAATGGCAACGAAAATGATACAAACCAAAGAATAAAAGATGGAAATGGGCGAGTAAGGGCGGCCATTTATTTGCACGGTAGAAATGCCTCAGCGGAACGGCAGTAGTGTAGGAGGGTTAACACATCAATCAAAACATCAATAGACGGAAGCACAACGGTAGGCTGATAGAGAAGCGACGAGATGGAAGAACCAGAGACAAGATGGCGTGTTGAGGAATAATCGTATAAAGAAAAGAGGCCGAGAGTTAGCCACCCAGACACCAAGTTTGATACATATATACTGGACATCACAGTTGTTGTTTTGTGATGTTGCCCAGGGGCAGTATATACACGCCAAAGAGAAAAAGCCCGGCAGCTATCAATCAACAGCAAAATACATTCGCTCCGTTGCCCATCCCAACCGCGAGTCAAGGCGTAATAGGGCAGCCAGGTATCTATCTGTCTATCTACCCGATTATCTACCTCCTCCCCTTCAACAACCCCAGCAACCATGTGACGACCGGCTTCTTCTCCCGCGACGTGGTCAGTAACCGCAGGTACTCAGTCCCATCAATCCCTAATTGCGGGAAGGTGACACCCTGCAGGTGGTTCACGAAGGCGTCGCCCGTCTTGGAATAGATGACCTGTTGTATTCCGGCGATCTCGTTTAGGATCTGGCGCGACTGCGCGTCCGTGTTTGGCCTGAACCCGCCATCCTGCAGCACCGTCCAGCACAGGCCGTGGAAATGCTCGATCATAAACTGGTCGAACCCGGGGATGGCCGGCGCTGGCGCCCCTGTGGTCATTGGGTTCTCGCCGATCGTGGCGACGTCCGGACCGCCCCACTGCGAGGCCATGCGGCTGAGGACGTTGAAGGCAACGCGGCTGGCCACGAGATTGCCGTGGGTCAGGGTCTTTGCGATGTCGATGATGGACGAGATCAGAGACTCAAAGGTGCCCTGGTTGGAGGCGCTAACGAGAACCCCGCCGAGCTCGTTGTGCAGAATAACCTGGACGAAGGAGACGAATTCGCGCCGGAGTTCCTGCAGCTGTATCTCGTCGTCTGTCCCGTTGATGGGATCCGACAGACCGCTAAAGACTCTCTGGAGCAGCGGGGTCAGGAGAACGTCGAGAATGTTGTAGATCTCGGACTTGAAGTTGTACACGACCTGCTCCAAGAGGCGGAGGAACATGGCCATCTCGTCGTTGCTGGAGCTGCGGGACAGCAGCCCTTCGATCCACTGCGGCAGCTGCGGCAACACCGCAGCACCCAAGACGCCCAGGAGCCGCGAGAAGGCTGAACGGCACGCGGCGCGGACGTCGCCGATAGCATTCAGCTCGTTTAGCGCGATGAGAATCGCTTCCGCGGCCCGCGAGAACTCGTTGGAGACAGCCTCGTGGGGCTGTGGCCGCTTGCCTTGCTGAGCGGCATGGGCGTCGGCAAAGCCATTGGCGAGAGTCCCCAGGGCCATGATGATGTGGTGCACCTGTAGGACGGCCTGCGGGTCGCCAGCTTTTGCACGTTCTATGTGCACGCTCATGTCAGAAAAGAGCGGCTCCATGACCGATCGCGCATACAGGCCCTGATCGGCTGGCGGGGTGGCGGAGGTCGAGGAAATGCAGCCGATCGCCTCGTACAAGAAGAGCTGGCTGCTGAAAACGGCATCGGCCGAGTGATCGGATTCATCCGAGGACATATCGTCGTCGGCGTCGTTGCCGGGGACTTCGGCCTTGATCGGCAAGAGATCGCTGATGGACTCTATCACTGTCTTGGCCACGTTGCCGACCTGCGCCCTCAATGTCTTGACAAATCGGTGGAAGAGGTACCAGGACCTCGTGCGGATCCGGACATGGTCGTGGTGCACCAACCGGACGAAGTTCTCGAGCACCTGCGGGATATAGCGCTGCTGGTCCTCGAAGAAGCTGTAGTAGCGGGTGCAGATCTCCATGTACTGGAGAAGGATCGCGGGGTGGTGATAGTTGGCGATGCCTAGCAACACATGTCAGTAAAAGTCAACGCATAGGGCATGATGGTTCCTTACCTGACTCGACCATCTTGCTCATCATGACGGCCAGTCGTTCGGCAGCGAGGGGGTTTGGCTGGCTCTTCTGGGCCAGCCCCGTGTTGGGCAGTGCCAACTCGCCAAAGAGGTAGATTTCGTGCAGAGCCAGATCCAGATCCCTCCAGTCCATCTGGGAACCCTGCTGTTCAAGAGTAGAAAACATATTCGCCACCAGATTGCTCAAAAGATCTATGCACAGATTCTCGTCGACAGATGCCACGCTCTTCTGAAGGATCTGAAGCTTTTTGCGCAGCTCCTGAAACTCGGCCTCGTCCGTCTGCTCGTCCTCGTTGCCCCAGTTCGACGTCTCATCGTACCTCATTTTCGAAACGATCGCGTTCAAAATCGGAGGGAGCATCTCGGAGTAAGTGGGCGGCAGTTGTCCAACCTTGCGGAGGAAGGTTAGGAGGTCGGTGAGGGAGGGAATCACGGTCGAGCAGACTTCGTCGTATTCGTCCGAGAAGAGACGCAGAAGGGACGGCAGGAAATCGCGGAGCAACTGTTCCGCCTTCCCCCTCGTATCGTTGTCGACTTTACCATCTTCCAGGACGCGGACCACATCAGCTACGAGGGTGTTGACCAGCTTGGCCACAGCTTCGGCGAGGTCCGTGTCGTATCGCGGCGTCCCCTTCCATTCGTTGAGGGGCGGGCTCGCCAGAAGCTGAGAGACGATCTCACGGAGGTTTAGAAACGTAATCATCTCAGCCTTGTCGCTGGGCTTCATCTTCTTGGCCACAATCTCGGTGAAGGTGTCCACGGCCGCGTCCCTGACCTTGTCTCCGCTGCCGGCGGCGTGTGTCCTGCCAACCAGTGGCAGCACCAGGCTGATCATTTCCTGGTTGATGACGAGGTGGATGTCAATCCAGCTCACCCATTTCCCGATGGTCTTGAGCGTTGTCTCGACCACGCCGTCGTTTTGGTGGCTGTACCGAGCCAGCAGATCCTGCCAGGACTGGGCAATCTTCTGCATGTCTCGCTCGCGAATCAAGTCCTTGAGGTCGTTGTTGCGCCTCGCCTCGTTGTCCGATCGGCTCAGCATAAGATCAGCGATTTCGTCGTGGATCGAGCCCAGGATACGCAGGTACATGACCACCCCGGGGAGGTTGTTTTCTTTTTGGGCGAGGGCCAGGAAGTCGTCGATGAAGCTCTCCCAACCTTCCTTGTACAGACCGACGAATAGATAGGTCAAGGTTTGTGTGAGTTTGTTCTGTAGATGTGCCGGGTCGACTTGATCCTGGGCGTCGCCGCTGTAAACTCGCCCGACGTATTCGAGCAGGGACTGTTTGAGGAAACCGAGGCCCTGGCCATCGAGGATCTGCGAGGAAACGGCATGGTTGACTATTTCGAGGCAGACCAGCCGTACAACGGGGGATGTTCGGGGGGTTCGGGTAAAGATAGCGATGCAGACCTGCCAGGCCTGGGGATCGGTGCGGAGTTGGTTCAGGAATTCGAAGGCTTGGCCTTTGAGCGCCTGGTCGGAGGTAGGGTCCCAGGCGATCTCGATCGCATTCTCGATCTACAAGAGGACGGGTCGTTAATAGGGTTCGGGTTCCGCAAGAATGGTTAAAGAACTGCAGGGGCCGCATGGCGGTGTCGACACCGTTGGCATCGACAACAAAGCCTGTGACTCTATCCCATCCCCTGCCATAGCGGGGCAGCAAGGTCAGGCAGCGGGGAATCACGCGACTGACATCACTCACCTGGGCGTCCATTGCCAGACGGTAATGTATGTTTTTGGAGTGGATTTATAATGCCAGCAGGTTGAATGCGTGATTGCAAGAAGTGCTATACCCCGAGCAGATAGGTAGTGAAGGTGGAAGTATTCGGCATTCTCAGGAACGTCAACAACAAATGCAGTGCCCGCCACACATGAATCAACTCCTTTAGCAAGCCACCATCGTCTGCAAAGTTACGGTGATAAGAGAGCAGGGAAATTGATCTGAGGGAGTGCAGTATAGGGCGGTGAGGTCGATATCAACGGTAATCACGATAGGGAGAATGGGCGAGGTTGCAGGAGCTGTTGTTAGCAAAGGCCGAACAAAGACTTGAGGAATGCCGTGCAGTGCGACTGGGTTCAGGTGGGGCACCGAAATCGAAAAAGTAAAAAAATGGACAGCTCACGCACAGTCTGGTGAACATGGTGGGGGGTTATGACGCACGGTCCATGTTGGCCTGGGCCTTCAATTTTCTCTGATAGGGTAAATTTAGCTCGGCAAGAGCCGAAGGAATCAACGACCGGAATTCCGGTAAGAGAAGCCCAGCTTCAGGTCTCGGTATGAATGAAGTGAGAGAAAAGACAAAAGAGAGAAAAAAAAAAAAGATATGCAAAATAATCTCTCATGGGATCATACTTCGGCCACTCGCATTGTATCAGTCACAAGCGGATGTACCTCGCTAAGTGGCAATGGTTGCACCTTCTCAAGCATCTGTCCGGCTGCAACAACCCGCTCGATGTACAGATATGTGGGCAGAGTAGAGTGTATGACGCTCCGAAACTCGATGCCTCCTCTGATTCGTACATCGTCGTCTACCCAACCAAAACTTTATACAATCAAACCCTTGCATGGTACCTCATGCTGCTGATTTCCGATCCCCAACGCCATCCTGTAAACTTCACTCAAATCGAACCCGAGCCGTCTTCTTCAAACGTCCGCGTGGCCACTCGCTGAAATCTGGGCTGAAATATCAATCTCCACTGTCACCTAACCAGTCTTCTTCTTCTTCTTCGGCCGCTCCTCCTCATCGTCCTCGTCGTCGTCGTCCATGTCCTCGTCGTCATCGTCATCGACCTGGTTGTCAACATCGCTTTCGGCACTGCCAGACCCGTCGCTCTCGTGGTTGCTGTCGTACTCCTCAGCAACGTCGCTCTCGGTCTGAGAACGGAAGTCCTCGTCCACGCTTTCTTCGTCCTCATCCGCCGAGCCACGGTCGGCCTTAGCCCCGACGACCTCCTCGTCCGAGCTGGCCATGGCCTCGTCTCTCAGGGCCGCAGCCATAAGTGTCGTCTCCTCATCAATCTCGTTCTTAACACGCAGACCCTTCAACTTGAAGAAGTCCTCGAGAGCCTTCAGGTCCTCACGATTGATATTGCTGAATTGCGAGGACCCCGCGCCGGACTTCATGTGCACCGTGATATCGAACGTCGACAGAGCCGAAACGGCGCCATTCACACGGGAGAATGTAATGGATTGCGTCTGGTCGTACGAGATGTAGGTGGCGGGCTTCGGCACAAACATGAAAGCCTTCTCCAAGCAGTAGAGGAAACCCTCGCTCGCTTTGATCGAGCACTTGATGCCGTACTGCTGGCGGTGTCTAGAAGCGTGTCAGCAGGCCAACTCTTCGGTCAACAAGAGGGTTGGGAAAACGTACGTTGTAAAGTCCTTTGCGGGTGCAGTGATCTTCTTGTTGGCCAGGCCCTTGAAGATATAGGCGACAACCTGGTGCAGAGGCTGTTCATAATGGGGTTGCAGCTTGTCCTTGTATTTGCCGTTGAGCTCCTCTTCGGCGAGGTTGAGATCCAGCGTAACTTCCTCATCCTGCTTGAACTGCATGATGAGGAATGGGTACCGCGTTTGACCCTGCCGAAGGGGCGGGTCCAGGCCGATACACAGCATGAAGTGGGTGTCGTCGGGCTTGGGAAGGACCATAAACTTCTTGATAGCCTCGTACTGAATCTTGTAGTCGTACGTTTTGCCCCGCAAGCGGAAAGAGGCATCGTACATGTCGATGTCGAACCGACCTCTACACGGCCGTTAGAGACAAGACAGAAGAATGTCAGGGTAGGTGCTACGGACCTTGGTGTGAGATGCAGGACATCCAGGAAGGTAGCGATCGTATCGCCAGCCGTCTCCCCAATATCCGCTTTCTCAATAAGAGTATCGTAGAAGAGGGTGACGGCGCTCTTCTCCTCCTCGTCCACGCCGCTCCCAGCATTGCTGCCTTCGGCTTCTTTCCGAGTCGTTGTGCCGGGGATGTAGAACCTCATCTCCGTGAGCTGGTCTCTCCCGGCCGCGGCCTTCTTGCCCTTCCCCGGTGTGGCGCCATTTTGGCCGTTGGACTTGCCCGCGTCAGCGACAGAAAATTCGACCGCGATTTCGTTGCGACCCGCCAGGTTGGTGTTGGATATCTCCGAGTATGGGATTTCGAACGCGGGTCGATTTTGCACATTGAACGAGATCTCAGCCTTTCCAAACTCGGCTTTGCCCCAGTTCCAGCCGCGCAGCGAGTGTTCCTTGTTCTCGAGGGTTGCGCTGTACCAGTTCTTGAATATTTTGCTGAGGCGTTCATAGTCCTGCTCCAAGTCAGCCGATGTCCGCCACGCCCGCACCCGCCCGCGTCATCCCTACCTCTTGTTGGAATCCGTCCAGCTGAAGAACTCCTGAATTCCGCTGCAGGATTTTCACCTCGTAGCCTCGGGCCGCTCTGCTCCATTGTGCGCCACCGATGTTGCTTGAGTCGAGGGTGAAGGTATCGCCGCCGCCCGCGGGCTTCCACCCCAAGCCGTTCTCGGCAAACCTGCACTTGCCATGCTCTCGGGATAAGTCCAGATGGATGTTATCGAAGCTCTCGCTGGCGGCTTGTCAGCTACCTGTCCGTCGAACCGAGAATGCGCTGTGGGCGACGGAATTGGAGGGCTGCACGGAAATAATGTGGAAACCTAAAATTTGAGACTTACATGGCTGCCATGATTTCGCGTTATTTTATCGCTCTTGGATGTGGAATGATTGAGCGATGGATCCGATCCACAGATGGAAAGTTGGGAGATGCAGAGTTGGAGTTCGCCTGGCGCGTGTGAAGGAGAGGTCGACGCGACAGGAGCTAAATTGGAAGGCTCGGCGGCCAAAACTGCCGGGCGGTCAGTCAAGACCCACTACCAGCTTCCCGGCTTGTGCATCGCCGACAGAGCAACTTGATAACATGATACACAGACCGAAAAGGCTTTAAACAGTGAATTGGTCTCAAGAAGGAAGTAAGTAGGTTGGATTTATTCCTGACCATTTTCGAAGCTTATTGACCGTTTATCCATCACGTTGGAAGTAGGTCGAGCAATGGATCATAATCGGTACGACGTATTTGTAATTTACACGGTTATGTCCCAGTTTCTGACATAGTTATGTTGGCGAGAGATGATGCAACCCATGTCAAACCCATCGCTTCACTGGAAAATTCGCAAATCAATGGAGGAACCAACTTTCCTTCTTCGGACACACCGATGTTTTTTGTGACTTTTCCAGAACACATCTGGCCTGCCTCGGGAAGAGGGTCTTCCAGCGTGGAGGAATGGGAGCCTCCCCTCGCCTGGAGTTGCTTTGGTGTATGGTAACCACAAACGGAAAGCTCCGCACCGCCAATGTGGGGGTGCCCCCCCAGCACAAACTAAAATCGGTGATGTAAGTGATGGAACCATTAGTTAGTTATCCAGATGGTCTCTCCCATGATGTAAATTAAATGCCTGCCCACCACCAACGATCTTTGATCGGGTTCGGATAATTACACGAAGCATTTTTGGGTGCTTTCACCATTAACTTCTTGCACAAGACGTGCGGTCCCTAAGCTTAGTAGGGCTGGCTGCTTTGCGTTGGCCCGACTGCCAACGATCATCATCTTGAAAGGACCAGGCGATCGGCCGACCGGTGTTGTCATCGACCAGCAACCGACATATTTCGAAGCTCGCAAAACTTTTTTACCTGCAACCATCATCCTACACCAAGGCTACCATTAATTCCGAGCCTATTGTTTTTTTTCCGAGCGTAAGACGTCGGAACCTACCTAAACAGTCGCACAAACAATGAGCTTCAACCGTCCCATCCGTGGCGGCTGCCACTGCGGCCGCAACCTCTACATGATCCAACTCCCTCCAGACCAACCAGCCACGCAAACCGCCCAGATCCTATTCCACCCGCACCCTTCACATCGTAGGCCACCTCCCACTCCCCCAACAACTAGTTATAAAAAGAACCTACCTAACTAACCACCCCCACCCCGCCGGGCGACAGGCTCAAGCATGGGCACTGCGCTGACCGCCTACCTTCTAGTGCTCGTTCGATACTACCGCTGAACCGCCCTCCCGAAACAACTCGATGAAACAAACGCCATGATCCACCGGGCATACGACCCCACCCGAGCTCTCTGAACACGGAATAGGAACGGCATGGGTAAAGATACAGAAGCATGAGGAGACCGCACCGATCGAGGAGGAGGATGGCAGGGCCATACTCGGCGGTACTTTTGCGGGTTCTGCGGCACGCCGCTGTCCTTCTGGTCCGAGTCGCCCCCCGCCGAGGCCGACTTCATCTGCCTGACCCTCGGCAGCCTGCTGCCGGAGGACTTGGCGGATCTGGAGGAGCTGGGCTTGTTGGCGGGGCTGGGCCTGCCCTGTGGTAGTCCCAGTCCGAGCCCGAGCCAGAACCTGTCGTCCGCGGCTGGCGCTGGTGCCGCTGCTGGGGAGGAGAAGGGGGTGGTGGGGAGTGTTGGGGTGTTGTCGTGGCTGGATACGCTTACCGAGGGGAGTAGACTAGGGGAACTTCTGCGTCAGGCCAGGGGCAGGGCTGCGGTTCCGAAGGGCAGAGTGAGGATTGAGTGGGAGATTGTTGAGTGGAGTGGGGATGATGATGACAGTGGTGAGAGTCCGCGAAAACGGAAGGCCGAGGAGATTGAGGGGGCCGTTGAGGATGAAAGGATGGAGGGAAGCGCGTCGTGAGTGAGTGTTGCGTTCTGTGCCTGGCAAAAGGCTAGGCTATCTCCTATTTGCCGGGAGGTTAGGTGGTTTTGGGGGGCTTATGCGGCTCGCTTCGAAGATCAAGGCGAAAACAGTCCCCAACGCGGGACGGGGCGCATGCACCAAGCCCTATACGGTTGGCAGGTCGTCGCGAGAGGTCGATCGGCGTAGTTGGCGTTTACCTGGAGGGATGATTGGGCAATCAGGGGACTGTAGCCGGAGATTATGAAGGCAGGAACCAACATATTTTCGAACATCTGGTTGGACTTGTCACTTGGAGGCAGCTCTCGTAACGTTTCATGGTTTTCAGGCTGTCCCGGGCGGCAATGATGGGTCGACAGAGCCGCGTGGGTAACCTACTTGAGGTGGTAGAGATCGTCAATCAAAAACAACAAGAATTGCCGGAGTGGTTGCCATGGCCACAGCAGTCTAGCCGTTTGACGACTTACACACCATGACCCAAGTAAACAGGCCATCGATGTTCATGCTCCGGAATGGGCAGCCGGTATTGCCGTCGCTCATAAGAATTTAAAGCAGTCGTCCACCCCCTTCGCTGACGGGATCTCACGCCGGCGGCCGAACCGTGGTCAGCCGCTTCGGTCCACTGTGAGCGAAGCTTTGTGAATCGCCAGAATGGCCGGGGTTTAGCCATCGGTAGGAAGCGACTGGCCACTGCACGAACCGCTCCGGAGTTTTGCCAGATAGACGCGATCGCTAGTCAAAGCTAGCGACGGTGTGCCGTGCCATGCAAGCGATTGCCAACCATGTTTTGGGTTGGCGGTTGAAAGAGGCTCGTCTCGGCGCGGGCGGTGTGGTGCCGTGGTTTGGCTGCATAAAACGACGCCCCTGCTCGTGACCATGTTTTGGCCGCAGCCACCCCTAGTTATACCGAAGTTTACCCAGCCAAGGTCCTTGCTGTGGCCCTTCACGGGCCGTGATTCCGGAAACAGATTCTAGGGTGGAGAGAGCAGCATGAGCGACTTTCGGCATCATCCAGCGGGGGTTTGAGGGGGGCATTGGCCATCTCCGAGCAGTGGGAGAGCATATGTCGATGCTGGAGCTCCTGCAGCTCTCGGCCGAAAGAGCCTCTTTATGTAAGGTACCTGGGTACCCGGAGTGCCACGCTCGATTTTGTTTCGAGAAGGTGTGTTTCGGGTTGTTCTTCCGAGCGCCCAAGGGCTGGGCAGTTTTCCTATTGGGGGTTGGTGGGATTGGTGGGATTGGTGGGGTTCGAGGGTTTCTGGCCCCGGCTCGAGCCCTGTTCTCCGCAATTTCGTGCATTTTGACAGGGCCCTGCATGCTTTCCCACATCAACCATCGGGTCACTGGCCGTCGACCACTGACGGCGCTCCGTTGGACTCGGTTTTACCAGGGCTATCTTACCCCGCGGTGGGGGGTCCACGGGTCCTTGTCGGGACCCCGGCTACGCGCATCACTCATGGATGGTTCATGGCTGTGCGCAAACGTTGCACACGGCTAGCTGGATCATGGCCCGCATCTCGCATCAGTCTATGCCTAGCTCTCTCGGTGTTGACGGTCCGAAGCGCGCGGGAGAATTGGGGGGGATAATGGCATGAAACAGCGGTGATGGTTTCCATGATTATTTAAAGAAGGGCAAGCCGCCCCCTTCGGGCTCTCAAGGTCCTGGTAAGCACTCTCTCGTCTTCATCTTCTCCCTTCATACCCTCCCACACCATCTCAAATACACAATGTCTCTTCCCAAGGACTTCCAGTGGGGCTTTGCCACTGCCTCGTAAGTCTACTTTTTGTCTTATCCTATCTGATACCTATCTACCTAGATAGCTTCAGGAGGAAGCACCAACCTTTGAAGTCTTGACTGACAACAATCTCCCCCCCTACTAGGTATCAGATCGAGGGTTCCATCCACGAGGATGGCCGTGGCCCGTCCATCTGGGACACCTTCTGCGCTATCCCCGGCAAGATTGCCGACGGTAGCTCCGGTGTTGTCGCCTGCGACTCGTATAAGCGCACCAAGGAGGACATTGAGCTGCTCAAGTCTGTAGGTGCCCGCGCCTACCGCTTCTCCATTGCCTGGTCGCGTATCATCCCTATCGGCGGTCGCAACGACCCCATCAACCAGAAGGGCATCGACCACTATGTCAAGTTCGTCGACGACCTGATCGCCGCCGGCATCGAGCCCTTCATCACTCTCCTCCACTGGGATATCCCCGACGGACTGGACAAGCGCTACGGCGGTTTCCTGAACAAGGAGGAGTTCACGGCCGACTTTGAGCACTACGCTCGCGTCATGTTCAAGGCCATCCCCAAGTGCAAGCACTGGATCACCTTCAACGAGCCGTGGTGCTCGTCCATCCTGGGCTACAACAGCGGCTACTTCGCCCCCGGCCGCACGTCGAACCGCGCCAAGTCGGCCGTCGGTGACAGCTCGCGCGAGCCGTGGATCGTCGGCCACAACCTCCTGGTCGCCCACGGCAAGGCCGTCAAGGTGTACCGCGAGGAGTTCAAGCCCACGCAGGGCGGTGAGATCGGCATCACCCTGAACGGTGACGCCACCCTCCCCTGGGACCCCGAGGACCCGCTCGACGTCGAGGCGTGCGACCGCAAGATCGAGTTCGCCATCTCGTGGTTTGCCGACCCCATCTACTTCGGCCACTACCCCGAGTCGATGCGCAAGCAGCTCGGCGACCGCTTGCCCGAGTGGACGCCCGAGGAGGTTGCGCTCGTCAAGGGCTCCAACGACTTCTACGGCATGAACCACTACACGGCCAACTACATCAAGCACAAGAAGGGCGTGCCGCCCGAGGACGACTTCCTCGGCAACCTCGAGACGCTCTTCTACAACAAGAACGGCGACTGCATCGGGCCCGAGACGCAGTCCTTCTGGCTGCGGCCGCACGCGCAGGGGTTCCGGGACCTGCTCAACTGGCTCAGCAAGCGGTACGGGTACCCCAAGATCTACGTGACGGAGAACGGCACGTCACTCAAGGGCGAGAACGACATGTCGCTCGAGCAGATCGTCGAGGACGACTTCCGCGTCAAGTACTTTGACGACTACGTCCGCGCCATGGCCCTGGCCTCGTCCGAGGACGGCGTCAACGTCATGGGCTACATGGCCTGGTCGCTCATGGACAACTTTGAGTGGGCCGAGGGCTACGAGACCCGCTTCGGCGTCACCTACGTCGACTACGAGAACGACCAGAAGCGCTACCCCAAGAAGAGCGCCAAGAGCCTCAAGCCCCTGTTTGACAGCCTGATCCGCAAGGAGTAGGCGGTTGGTTTGGCTTGGGTGTGGGTGAATGGTGTGTGTTTTTTTAAGTGGCTGATGATGTATGCTACCTTTATGCCGCAAAAATGCTGGCTCCTGTTTCTGAGGGAATCCCGTCAGGGTTATTATGATAGTTATGATTGAGCGAATGTGGAATAAGCGTTGTTTCGTCACTTGGTGTGTTTCTGTGTGCCGATATGTGATATATGACAATACATAACAGTGCTAAATCTTTGTTTGTCCTCAAAAAAAAAAATAATAAATAAAGCATTTCGTAAGTATTTCTCATCTTCATCTTCCGTTTATTTTCCTCTCTTGGGGGGATGGCGTAGTTGTGTCACGAATATGCCAACAGGAGGGACCTCGGGTCGCGGGACGCCCCGAGGCAATCATTAAAAGGACCAATCAGGGAGCCAGGAAGGTGATCGAGGTGATCAGTGAGCTCAGTCACCAAGCCGAGACTGAGCACACTGAGCACCAGGTAAAGATCACCAATCAGGATAACAATAGCTCGACAGTGATCAGTGAGCTCAGTCGCCAAGGGCAGACTGAGCACACTGAGCACCCTGGAATTAGCTAGGTATATAGTCACTCGTTCTGGAGAGCTCTGGGAGTTCTCCAGTTAGCAATCACAACTACAGTTCGCTACAAGCTCGAAAGCCTACTGTTGAGACAAGTCTTTGTTGTGCACCCTTTGGCTGCACCGAACCTAAACACCCTTGCAAGATTACCTTCAACCAAAGCTGAACCCTAACAGGACGGGGTCCTGGAGTAGGTCCGTCACAAATTTCACTTCTCGTTAGTTTTCTACGACATCAAAACACGCTTACGCCCACGCCCCCGTTCTTCCTCGTCCCCGTTTGTCGCATAAGCAGGATCCGGGTCAAACTGAGCCAATAACCCGCCCTCCACCTCGCATCCGCCCTCGTCGCCGTCGCCAGAATGCCTAGACCAAACCGTGCGCGCTATCCTCCGGCAATCAGCAGAGCCCAATATCTTGGTGTTCGTGATCTGCACCACAGGCTCCCAAACGCGGAGACACCGGGATACCCTGGTTCCTGACAGAAAAGTGGAGGAAAAGACGGCGGGGCTGAGGATGGTGTAGGCGAAGCGTGCAAAAAGACACTCTTTTGAGAGACCTGGGGGGAAAGCGTGCAGGCCGCGGTTGTGCCAGAGGCCCGCGACCTGGACCGTTGGGAGATGGGACAACGATCGTGGATCAGGAGGCGGGTTTGGTTCCGGGGAGGCTGGGAGGAGGTAGCAGGCGCTGGCAGATCTCTCTCGTCGACAGTCGTCAAAATCTGAACCGTCCACGACCTTGGGAGCAAAACAGAGGTGACGCTCGTCGAATACGCGGTGGAAGGCGGAACGCAGGGGCACTAGGTTCGCCGGGGAGTCCTGGGATTGTGTAGAGAAGGGGAGCATGGAGGAACGGCCGTACCGGTCCATCAGGTTACGATCCCACCATTCGTGCTCGTTGGGGGGGACGCAGCGCGCGACGTCAACGCCGTGGGAATAGTTAGTTGCAACGCAGAAGCTGGCACGCTGGCCTACGGCCATGGGCTGGACGTTTGCATTCGTTTGCAGTTGCAGGCGTGCCCAGTGCACGGGGAGGTCGTGATGCGGGAAGGTCTAGTCCGAGAAGCGGGGGGTGATGGGATATGGTGACGTAGGAGATGTGGGATCGGAAGAGGTGGCGCCTGGAGACTCAGACCCCGGTGTCGGAAGGTGGAAGTAGTAGTATGGGTGACCACGAAGAATGCCGTCCGCGGGCCGGTCGACGCGTGTCTGTCCAAGCTTGTCGGTGGAGAAGAAGCCGGACCATTGATTGCAGGCTATGAGACCGCAGGCCACAAGGGCGGTGTCAAAGCAAACACCGCCATCATCGAGACAGGGGAGGGATAGGAATGTCGCCGACATGAAGTCCTCGTCGTAGCCCGGATGGACGAAAAAGATGTTTGGTTGGAATACTGAGGAGAGAAGAGAAGGTGGAATCGCGGCGGGATCGTTGGATGCAGGGCGAGACCGCAAGTTTTCTTAGACACGGTAACGGCCAGCACTTGACGACGGGTCCCCGGGTCGAGTTTTCCTTTCTCAAAGCGGCCACTTCACTTCGGTTGCCTTATGCCTCGGAGGTCTAGCACTTGGAAAGGGGCGGCGCAGTGGGAAAAGGCGGCGCACGGAGGAAAGGTGAACGTCTTCGCCAATGAAATCAAAACAACCTGCTGTGCAAACGCGGTCTGAGTAGACCAAAAAGAAAAACAGAACTAGAAAGGAGAACAAGAAATCGGGAATCGGGAAAGAAGAAAGTAAAAAAGAAAACAGAGCAAAATAAATCAGATAAAATAAACCAAAAAAAGATTTGGGCTTCCGATTGTCTTTTTTCCTTCCTCTCGTCGGAGGTTTGGTCGGCATCTCCACGTACACTTGGAGTTCGGCTTTCTTTGGTGGTCGGCTCCCACAACCCCAAATTAGTGCGGGGGCCGCTTTAACTACCAGATAGGGTTTAGCGGGTTTAGCAGCTGCACCGCCGTAGGCCTGGAACAGGACGAACGAAACGGGGAAATGCGGAGAGAAACCGGGGTCGGGGTTCGTTGCCGTGACGGTGCTGGCCGAGGAATTTGAGACGGCAACCGGACGGCAGGAAGGTGTGCTTTTTGTCTTTATCGTTGCCGGCTGACTCGAGACGGAAACACCGGAATATATATGTAACTTTCTCTTGCTCTTCCGGCTGAGACCCCAAACCATTTAAGACAGTTAGCTATCCCCGGACACCGCCCGTGCTCTTCTTCATTCGGTCCAACGGCGGCTTTGATCGGCACGAGACACACCGGCCCCGGTCCGTGGTAGAAACTCCATGTCACTTTCCCCCGAGCACAAGCTGCACACCACCCGGCATTTTCTCTTCTCCTGCATTCTCAACCTTTCATCCCACATTCAACTCACCCTCCCGGTTTAAC